TATACCATTAATTCCAAGGATGAGGAGGGCAGGAAGCTTCGAAAACGATCCTACACAAATCCTGCCTTTGTGGAAGTCATCAGAGAGTTTTATCCCTTTTGCTGCAACCGCGGTCTCTTTAATTTCGAAGACTTTGACTGATCGCAAGTTCATTCATCTTTCACTGCAGCATGCACTCGATTCTATTAAATAAATTGTGTGCGAATATTGATTCTGGTTTTTTCAAGATTTACATGGCGAATGTCGCGAATGCATTGCAATTGAAACCAGAGACCTTGAAATATATTTTCATCTGGGGAAATACTAAAAAATATTTTTAAACTAAATTAATTTAATTTTTTTTGTCACATTCAGAGATAATCAAAAGTAACCTGCTTATCACGCACTCACCGTATCTCCATCAACAAACTGATAAAAGCTATAGAATGATAGCGCCAAGTAGAACAAGGTACGCCTTAAGAAATATGTAACAATTCTTTGTAGGTACAAAAATAAATATAGCAGTGGAGAATCATTATTCTCAGTTACCGTTCTTAAAATGAAAAATCTCAAAAAGTTTTAAAAAATAAATTTCTTTGCACTACCTAGTGTAAATGATTTCCAGAGTGTTTCCCCTCCCCGAACTTTAGGTTATCAGGTATTCTCATCACAATACTGCCACTGTTGATAAGACCGGCGCCTGGTGCCCTGCTTGACCATATCGGGAACCGTGCGGGCGAAAGCTCTACCCCACCAATTATCACCCACTGCCCCACGGGGAGAGTCTTTGGCCCAAACGCCATGATCAGTGTCCCAGCTGTTGACGAACCAGTTGGACGGGCAGTTGGCATTGCTTTCGGGGCGTTGATAAGTGCGCACCTCACCCACCTCGTCGTACTGCGGTTGTTTTTGTTGCTGTGCGTGCAGTAGAACAAAAATAACATCGCGTCGCTCAAACAAGAAAAACATTCTCGATAAGGAAAGTCGAGGCAAAACAGTTGCGCCGCACACTTTGGACCGGGAACAACGCATAACCGTTTCGATCCGATCCGATACGATCTAATACGATCGCCACAGTGAGCTCACTCTGGCGGAATTCCAGCGAAATGCCCGATAACAGCACCAAGTTCTGCAAATCCAGCGATGTCCGGATTCCGGATTGGGTCAACGAGGCCTACTTCAAGCGACTGCTTAAGAGGGAATTTCGCGAGTTCCGGCGCATCCTGAACCTCTCGATTATTCCGGCCACACCGCCCGGAGAGACCTACACCTCGCTGCTGATGCGCATCGTCATCGACATTGAGATGAAAGGTGAGAAAAAGGGGCGGACATCTATATTATACATTAAATAAACTTTTACATCTCGCTATTTTACCATATCAACATTTTTTGATATAAGTTCACTTTTTATCACTCATACCATGGCAAAATTAAAAATATTATTTTACGAATAAATGTTTCCATTTTTGACAGATGGATTCTCACAACAAAATCGTACATAGTGAAGACCATGCTGGACGATGCCCAGGGGAATGGTGGCTTTGTGAATACCCTGAATATATTTCCCAAGGAGAAGATGATGTATGAAACGATCATACCGAATTTCGAACTTCTCTATGAGGAGGCTGGACTGAGTGTAAAGTTCGCACCAAAATGTCACTGGGCGGAGGATATAAAGGGCGGATCTGCCTGGTGCAGGAAGATCTGCAAACGAAAAAATACCGCAATATCAATCGCCTCAAGGGTTTCGATATGGTCCATATGCAACGTGTGCTGGAAAAATTAGCTGAATTTCACGCGGCAAGTGCAGTTTGGCGTCAGCGTAACGGACCTTTTCCCGATGACTTTCAGAGAATTTATCTACCCGCCAACTACAACCGATCCAAGTCTTACCAGGCGAGGCTTCAGAGCTTTAAGCAGCAATGGCCAGTTGGGGTCTGGCCGATCATGAGGAGTACGTGAGTCGCATAGTAAGTATAATAAGTTTCTAAATGGAATTAATAATAATGATTTGGTTTATAGCCCACGGCCGATCAATTTGTGCAATCCTACGCCCGCTGTTTCAACAACAATCCGCATGAGTTTAAGGTTCTTAATCATGGCGATTTGTGGTCTAGCAACATTATGCTAAGCTATACCCAATCTGGTGATATCAACCAAATTCGTTTCGTGGATTTCCAACTGTGCAAATGGGGCAGTCCGGCTCAGGACCTGTGGGAACTCATCATCTGCTCGGCCCGGCATAGTATACGGATACAAAACTTCGACTGCTTTATCAGGATATACCATACCCACCTTGTGCGGTGTCTGAAGATCCTTAAATATAGCGAAAGAGTGCCGATGCTAAGGGAGCTGCATATGAACATGATAAAGTATGGATTTTGGGGTGAGTTCGGATAACTGCTTAGAGGGCACTAACAATAATTTGTCCTTTCCCTCAGGTTACTTTAACACCTTCACCCATTTGGTGTTTATCCTTTTACCCGTGGACACGGAGGCCAGCTTGGTGAAGCTTACGCAGCCGGGAGAGAAGGGGATCGCTTCCGGTCAAGGTCTACACAAATCCCCTATACATCCGTGCTGCCCTCAGCATATTCCCCTTTCTTTATAGGCGTGGCATATTAGACTTTTAAAGTAATGCTAGTCACTTATGTACTTATTCCTAATAGCCCTGTCCATTCTTTTATGCACTTTTTTCCGAATTAAAACCTGTGTGGAACTGAAAGACCGGACAGTTTTATCTATTGTTTAACTGCGACAAAGTCGAAGTAATATTTTTAAATAAAGAATTTTTTATTTTGTTATCTTAGGGATTTTGTGTCATATCTCCATACCCTAATTAAAAAAAGGCACATTAACTGTAGCTTTATTACAAAGAACGTTTTAGAAAGATTTAAGCATTTATTTTTATATTTAAAGAAATAATTACTTAGAGCTATTTTCGATCGATAATAATTAGATCAAATATATTAAACGCAGGGCAACTCGTGGAAACTTATCGCAACAGGTGTCAGTACTCAGATCACGTTTTGTTTATCTCTGTTGAATAGAACAGTAATAGGTCGATAATAATAACCAAACACACAGAACATTAAAGTAAAATAAAACTAAATAAATTAAGTAATACATTGGTTCTTAATGCTTTCTTCCATTTGAATTTTACTCTTCTTTTATATAGTAATGGAGCACTGCCTTTCTTATCAGTAAACAGTATCGAAAGATTCGTTCCACATTTATCCGCAAACTGGTTTCTGAGCTATGTGCTTGGTGGTTCCCACATGTACATTTTACATATTATATATACCCAAATCAGCTGATAAGCCATCGTAAAGCTAAAAACAGAGAGAGCTTTATGGAAGCTCTGTCATTCTCCCAGCTGTCACATGTTTCGCCCCACATTCTCGATTCGATAGCCCCCAAATTAAGTTGCTGCTCAGCTGCTCTGCTCTCGGCTTTTTTCTATTCGGTGCAGTCAGGTGACTTGAAAAAACAAAAAAATAAATAAGTTACAATGGGAACCGGCAGCAAGAACTACCAGGCACCGGAATGGCTTACCGCAGAATTCCTGCAGGATGTGCTGAAGGAGCACTTCAAGGAGGAGCAGCTGGCGGTCACGGAGTTGCTGGTGAAAAGTGCCCAAGTTGGCGACCAGGCAGCTGGATTTGCCAGTGAAATGCACCGGGCCAGCTTCAATCTTCAAAGGGTTCGGCGCCGAAGAGCAATTCTCGGTGATTGTGAAGGATCATCCCAAGGGACAAACGGGTGCGGTGGCCCAAAGAAGTAAGCTCTTCAAGCGCGAGATTCTGGCGTACAAAGAGGTGCTCCCACGAGTCCAGACCCTTCTCCAATCCATCGGAGATCAAACGAAAATTGCTCCCACATGTTACTACACCACGGAATCGCCGGAACCCTTCCTTATCCTGGAGGACATGCAGCTGTCCGGCTTCGAGAATTTCGAGCGGGGTCGTCTACTGAACCTGGATTACGTATTGCCCACCATTGAGAAGGTCGCCAAGTTGCATGCCTGCAGCGCCCTCATCGCCCAGGAGAACCCCGAGGTGCTGGAATTCTTCGACGAGGCGCCCATCTCCCGGAATCCCGACCGTCGTGACTTTCTCACCTTCTTCCCCGTAAACATCCGCTGCGTAGCCGAGGAGGTGGCCCACTGGAAGGGCTACGAGGAGATCACGGAGAAGATGTTCAAGCTGGCCGAGAATGTCCTGCAGAGGGCGCTGACCATGTTTGAGTCCACTGGCAAGGAGTTCCGCGTTTTCAACCTCACCGATCTGTGGATCAACAATCTTTTGTTCCACATTAACAACGAGACCAAGGAACCCGATGATGTGGTCACGGTAGGTCATTGTATGAAAGGTATTATTTAAAAAGAATATTAATATATATTTTAATCTTCGATTTCCAGTTGGACTTCCAGTTGGCCTACGTGGGATCCCCAACCATTGATCTCAACTACTTCCTCTACGGCTCTTTAAACGAGAATGTTCGAAAGGTTCATTTCAAGTATATCGTTCGGGAATACCAGAGAACCCTACAGCAGACCCTGGAGAAGCTAAATTACAAAGGACACATTCCCACTCTTAAGGAAATCCACATCGAGTTGATCAACACCAGTCTAATGGGTCTGTTAATTTTTCCCCCATCTTAATAACAATATTCAATTGATCTAATCTTTCAGGTGTCATCGGTGCCACTTGCTTGACCCCCCTGATTTTCCGGGAAGGAGCTGGTTTCGAGAACCTCGAGGATCTAAACTCCCGCACCGAAAGCGGCGATCGTTTCCGCCGCGAAAATGTCGAGAACCCCAAGTACCGAGCTTTCCTTCAGCGCACTATCAAAGAGTTCGAACTGTCCGGATTCTTGGATATTTAAGTAAATGAACCGGAGAGAGAAGCTGACAGACAGATTACGTTACATTCGATCAAAAGTATTCGGGCTTCCAAATAGAGTAAGCTTTCATTTTTCCAGACACAAGCTTTTTTGACAAACAAATAAACTATTACCAGTTGTTTTAAAATTTTATTAAAATACTTCTAGAGAGCACCTAATATTAACTTATTGGTGAGCCGGAAATTTAAATCTATAAAAGCGATAACACACTTTTAAAAGCTGCAACTGAAAGCAACATTTCTGTCTACTTTCATAGATCTTTAAAGTATCCCAATTCTTCGTACTTGGGAAGGAGCCTCTTGATTTCATCAACGTAAAAGTCGAATGTGTAGCACTTATCTCTTGTTATCGGGTCCAGAATTATATCGTTCATTTTCACCTTATTTGCTTTAATGGGCAACATCATTGGAAGAAAAGTGGAAATGAGGAAGATATCTGTGAAAATAAATACAAATAAAAAAAATAAGTATTTAATAACCGAAAGTTAAATAAGGCACTTACCATAGTACTTGTGGCGATGAATTTGTTTCCAGAGACCCGATTGTGTGGGCATCTCGGCCTGGTAGTCCAATTTTTTCAAAGTGTCCTCCAGAACGGAGAAGTAGTAGTTAATTAAATTTTTCCCGAGATCCAATCGCTGCTCTGCCTCCATAAGCATGTAGACGGAATAAATCAGATCGATTGTAATGGGGCACAGATTACAGACTTGGAAATCCACAAACATGACGTCCCCGTTGTCCTTAAACATCATATTTCGAAGGTGGAAATCGCCGTGACACATTACGTAGTATCCATCGGATTGATAGTTCTTTCGGTATTCCTGCAGCACGTCGGCCATTCGCTGTAAGTAATCCTCCCTTATTTTCTCAAAGAACGGCTTGTACTTTGTAAGTTCGGGAATCTTATCTAGCATTTTCACAAAGCTAGCCATGCCACCTGTGACCATTGGATCCGACATCAATGCGGGCATTTCAACCAAACCATACTTAAAATCTTTCATGAACTCTGGTTGCTCATTCATAACTTTCATGCTGGCAGCATGCCATTTGGCCAATTTGGAAAAGACTTTTTTCAGTTCCTCCTCTTTGATAGGTCTGTTTCGAATGACAGAGTATCCCTGTGGCACCAGATCCTCGAATATCATCACCTGACGAGGCTCCAAGCTGTGGTAGATGCAAGGCACATATAGCTTTGTATCATCTCCTGCCTCCCGGAGAATCCTCTCAAACTCCGGAAGAGCCTTGGTGTAGGCTCCAATCTCCGTGGAGAACAAATGTGACTCGGCCAGCATATCCTTCTTGTGACCTTCCTGCTCGGGCATCGTCTTGATGATAAGGGGCTTACTGAACTTTCCCTTCGAGGTGGTATACTCGGCAGTAGTTCGGAACATAACGCTGGCATAGTGATCTCCCTGGGCACTTGCGGGGGTGATTTGTAGAGCTGTTACTCTTAGTTCCGGGCACTTTTCATAGCTGCTCAGAACGTCTCCAATGAACTGGGCGTTTAACCAGGCCGGAGCCTCCAGCTCGTCGGCATTGAATTCTTCTGTACCTGTTTTATCTGTCATGTTTGTTTCGCGGTCTCGGAACTTACAACTTTTCGGAACACTCTGCGATCTGGTTATACTAAAACCGATTGGGTATTCACTCGTTTTAAAGGTTTGCCAAGTGAGCTTTCAAAAGCAGTTTTAAGCTTTTTCAGTTGAATCTTTTCGATTCTGTATGAAATACCCCGGGGGGTGTTATCTTATCAACAGTATAATTACCACTTGATCGCTGGTAATTCAAAATTTAAATCTAATAACTAATCAAAGCATACTTATCAATATAAAGCAAAGAATATTTTAATTTGCAAATGACACCTAGCATCTACTTAAATGTTTACTGCAACGGAAATTAAATAAAAGAAATAATTGTTTTCTATTGTTATAGTAAGCATGACTAGCATTTACATCTTAAAACTTGAGAGATACCACTATAGTTTGTTAAGTTCTAGGCAATGAGCTGTTAATTGTTCTAGTCCATGGGGTGTTACATTAAATCTAACTGATAACAGAAGTAGTATTACCCTATAATATTTATTTTAATTGATTATTATACAATTTATTTTATAAATTTTCAAAATAACCCATTTTTTCGAATATAGGCAACAGTGTTTTAACATCTTTGAGGTAAGCATCCAAGAAATATGTTTTTTGTTTTGTTTCGTGATCCAAAATTAAATCTGTCAATTTTAAACTATTCGTTTTAATGGCTAGTATCATGGCCAGGAAAGAGGTCATCAGGAAGAAGTCTGTATAGAAAAATGTTTATGAATAATTTCCGATTTTGTTACTTGCATTTTAGCCTATATAAGGCGCATAAATTAGACAGTTTTAATGCCCGTGAGCGGCAAGCCGTAAGTAAACTTCAAATATTAATAATTTTTATATATATCTCGATTATTTCGTTTCAGTTTCCAATACTTATTTCTCTTACTAGCATAAAATAAAAACTCATTTTAATTTCATAATATCTATATAATAATTTAAGAATTATTCGTCCTTAAATCATGCCTGCAACTTTTTACTTTATTATTAAATCGTTCTTGTTTTTAGTCCATAAATGACTTGATTTAAGAATTATTCATACTAGATTCAAGACCGAAAGGTTCTTAAATCTAGTATCTTGGGTCTTGAAAATTCGTGCTCGAAAGTAGTATTTTGTTCTCGCGTTCTGTATTTTCCATGCTTGGCGAAGTTTTGACACCGAAAATACTAGGTTCAAGCACGAAATACTTGATTTTTTTTCTGAGTGTACTTACCATAATATCTATGCCCACGAATATGATTCCACAACCCACTCTGGGTGGGCACTTCACCCTTGAAGCCCACTTTCTTCAGAGTGTCCACCAAAACAGAGAAATAATAATTGATAAAATCTTTACCGAGGTCACAGCGCTCCTCTGACTCCATCAGCATGTAGACGGAGTATGTCAGGTCGATGGTAATGGGACAAACATTGCTAAACTGAAAATCCACCAGCATAACATCATCCGGGGCTCCCGTTTCCTTGTTGTTCTTAAACAACATATTGCGAATATGAAAATCGCCATGGCACAGCACATAATACCTATTTGCTTGCGGATTGGAACGGTATTCCAACATAATTTCACTCATCCGTTGGATGTAGTTCTCCTTAATTTTTTCAAAATACGGCTTGTACTTTGTAAGTTCCGGAACCTTGTCAAGCATTTCCAGAAAACATGGTAGCCCAGTGGTGATCATGGGATCGCTTAAAAAAGCAGTCATGTCCCACATACCATATTTAAATTCTTTAACGAAGTCAGGTCTCTGAAATGGGATACGATAGGCTTGATCAATATTTAATATTTCGTTAGCAGTGATTATAATACCTCATTTATAACTTTCATGCTGACTGCATGCCATTTGGCTAATTTCGAAAAGACTTTTTTCAGTTCTTCTTTGGTGGCAGGGCGATTTCGGATGACTGTGTATCCCTGCGGGACCAGATCATCGAAGATCATCACCTTCCGAGGCTGCAGACTGTGGTAGATGCACGGCACATAGAGCTTGGTATTGTCCCCTGCCTCTTGCAGAATCCTCTCAAACTCCGGCAACGCCTTGCTGTACATCAGGATTTCTGTTTCGAAGATGTGCGAATCCTTGAGTATATCCTTCTTGTGACCTTCCTCTCCGGCATCGTCTTAACGATCATTGGTTTGGAGAACTTTCCCTGCGCGGTGGTGTACTCCGCAACAGTTCGGAACATAACGCTGGCATAATGATCTCCCTGGGCAGTAGCTGGTGATATTTTCAGATCGGTAACTTGCAATGGAACCTTTTCGTAAGCACTCAGGGCCTCTTCAATAAACTGGGCATTAAGCCAAGTTGGTGGCTGAAGCTCGTCGGCATTAAATTGCGATGTATCTACTTCTTCGGTCATTTTGCTAGCCACAAAACAAGCTTTAACTGGACTGATTAACGATCGGTCAAGCTATGTCGACAACTATTGGGGGTCCGCTCGTTTTATACTATTCTAAATAAAGCTCACCCGTAATTGCAATAGCTTTTCTTTATTTTGTTTAATTTGACGAGAACTGAATGACTTAAACAAACGGCCGGCACACAATACAAAAACGCTTGTCCTTCATTTGTGTGAGTAATTTGCACAGGGTGTATGTGCCGACATTTATCTTTGTAATCATGATATTTTTTTTAATTAAAAGCTTGGTAAAGCTTTTGATGTTTAAAATAATACGCTATTTTGAATGTATTATAATTTAACAAAAATTTCAGCTTTTTGATAGCTTTATCCAATTAGACAGCCAGTAAAAAATATATAAAATCTATTAAAAAATTATAAGTGTAAAGGTAAAAATTCCATGAATGAATGTTTATCAAGGCCCAATAATTTTCCTGGAAAATGCCATTTAAGGACCGCAAATCGGTAAATCTCAATTTTTGAGGCATTACTTAGATTACTAGTATTTCACCAATGTACTAGTTATTAAACAAGCCTGCTGAACTAGTCGATATCTTTGCCCGGCTTCTATAAGTACTTTTACAATCTTATCACCAAAAATTGTATTTATGTTTTTAGACTTTTGTGAAGCTCTTATTTTAAAGAAATAAATAAAGGTATATAACGCTTTTTTTTCAATTTTCAGATCAAGTGGTTGCTTATTACACATATATCATTAGTATTACGTGTAATTGTCTTCAAGGTCGTTTTTATTGTATAAATAGAATTGGTAATATCTTAATGTTTAGGAATCTGGCGATGAATACCTCCTACTTAAAAATTGATAAAAAAAGATTACTTCTTAGCATTCATATCTTACTGTCCTAAAAGTACTTTTACAATCTTATCTTTCAAAGTACTAATTGAACAGGCTAACAGAATTTTGTTACAAAATACAATTTATTTATTTGTGATCTTGACACTTCACCAAGTGCCATCGAACTTCACCTTCCAATAAACTTCCAGGACTCCCCTTACAATTGGTACTTCAATAAAATAAGGAATCTTTTTGTTATATAACATTTAACTGCTTTATTAAATTATAGATCATTAAAGTATCCCAATTTTTCAAATTTGGGCAAGAGCTTGGAGACATCTTTTACATAAGCGTCATGATAGTAAGACTTCTGCCGAGCCTCTGGATCTTGGATGGCGTCATGCATTTTAAGAGTGTTTGATTTAATGGCCAACATCACTGGAAGCAATGTGCTGATCATAAATAAATCTGTAATGGATTAAAAGGAGGTTAGTTCCTAAATCTCCAGTTCAAGCTTAAATAACCCTCTTACCAAAGTATTTGTTGTTGTGTATTTGATCCCACAATCCAGTTTGGGTGGGCATATCCCCCTTGAATCCAATTTTCTAAGAGTGTCTAGCAAAACCGAGAAATAGTCGTTGATCAAGTCTTTCCCATTTCCCAACGCTGTTCCGACTCCATTAACATATATACGGAGTATGTTAAATCAACTGTAATGGGGACAAGATTACAGAACTGGAAATCCACCAGCATAACGTCATCGTAGGCTCCTAACTTCTTGTTGTGCCTAAACATCATGTTCCGGAGATGAAAGTCACCGTGGCACAGGACATAGTATCGATCATTCCGCCGATATTTGTGAAACTCATGCATTCAACTTGCAGTCGGTCCAAATAGTTATCTTTTATCTTTTCGAAATGGGGCTTATACTTCTTTAGCTCTGGGAATTTGTCCAGCATTTTGATAAAGTTTCCCATGCCTGTGGTTATAAACGGATCCGAATTAATGGTGGGCATTTCAAAAAGGCCATATTTGAACTCCTTCAGAAAAGTAGGTTGCTGATAAAGAGGGAATGTTATAATGATAATAATAAAACCTAATATTTTACCAAGCTTACTCATTAATGACTTTCATGCTGACTGCGTGCCATTTGGCCAGCTTGTTGAATGCTAATTTTAAGTCCCCCACTGAGGGAGGACTATTCCGGATGACGGTGTATCCTTGTGGCACCAGATCCTCAAAGATCATCACTTGGCGCGGCTTCAGGCTATGATAAATGCAGGCACGAACAGCTTGGTATGGTCCCAGCCTCCCGGAGAATTCTTTCGAACTCCGGAAGAGCATGGCAGTACATTCCGATCTCGGTTTCGAACAGATGCGATTCGGCCAGCATGTCCTTTTTGTGACCTTCCTGCTCCGGCATTGTTTTGATGATCAGCGGCTTGGAGAACTTTCCCTTCGCGGTGGTATACTCCACTTTGGTGCGGAACATAACGCTGGCATAGTGATCTCCTTGGGCAGTTGCAGGTGAGATCTGCAGATCGGTTACATTCAGATCTATTTTCTCGTAGGCACTCAAAATTCCACCGATGAACCGGGCATTTAACCAGGATGGCGGCTGAAGTTCGTCAGCATTAAATTCAATAATATGACTTTCCATTTTAGAAAATACTTGTGCTATTTTAACCGTAGTGGTAGAACCTTTCAGTTAGCTATACGAATTGGTAGTGCAGAGCTCTGAGAAACCACGATCGCTTTAAATAAAACTGGCGAGCTTTATACTAGCTTTTAAGAGGCTAATAGTAGTTTTTTATAAATGTTTATAATCTTACATTTGTTTCCTTGTTATAGACATAAATATTCGATATGTTAAAGCTGTCAGAGGAGTTTTTATTTCATCGTGGAAATAAATTTGGTCTTTTAATATTCTATCTCCTAACTTTATATCTCCTATACTTCAGATTTCAATTTAAGTAGTGTTAACCTTGCGCATCTAAAAGTATTATTTTGTAAAGCTTATAATTAAAAAGTGCACATTTCATTCTCAAATGACTAGCGTAACATTCTAGACACTTGACACCGGCAATAATTAAGCAAAGTTGTAGATAACAATTCTTATACAATCGTAATTTTCCCAACTCGATAGCGTTGTCATTCAAATTATTGTAATCTCCTTCAAATTTTTCTATCTTGAATAAGCTGAATAACTTTTTTAATATTTTCCATGAACGCATAAGAAATTTATAAAATATTAATAAAGTTTAACAGATCACATCGATACCATTGTTATAATTAAGCAAAACATTTTTATTTCAAATATTAATATAACAGATAAATCATCATGCAGTATAAAACTAAAAATTAAATTCTATTCTTAGTTATAGACCCTTAAAATAACCAAGCTTCTCGAACTTGGGCAAAAGTTTGGTAACATCTTTAACGTATGTATCCAAAAAGTATGTCTTTTGACGAGTTTCCGGATTTGGATGAGGTCATGCATTTTAAAAGTGTTTGATTTGATCGCCAAAATCAGGGGGAGGAAAGTGCTTATCAAAAAGAAATCTGAAAACGGATTATAATAAGTATTAGTTTATTTAGCTTCTGTTTTAATGGATAATACTAACTCACCATAGTACTTATTGCGATGAATTTGCTCCCAGAGTTTTGCTTGGGTTGGCATATCACCTTTGTATCCAATGCTCTTGAGAGTTGCTACTAGAACTGTAAAGTAGTAGTTAATTAAGTCCTTTCCCATATCCCGGCGCTGTTCGGGCTCCATTAACATATAGATGGAATATGTTAGATCAACGGTAATGGGGCAAAGGTTGCTTAACTGGAAGTCCACCAGCATTGTATCCTCGTGGTTTCCGGTTTCCTTATTGTTCTTAAACATCATGTTGCGAAGATGGAAGTCACCATGGCACAGAACATAGTACCCATCGTTCCGTCGGTTTTTGTGGTACTCTTGCATCTCGGCTTCCAGTCTTTCAAATGTTTGTCTTGAATTTGTTGAAAATAGGGCTTATACTTTTTTAGGTCGGGTAAGTTGTCCAGCATTTCAATAAAGCTCTTCATGCCAGTAGTAACGAAAGGGTCATTCTGTATGGTGGGCATATCAAATAAGCCATATTTGAAATCCCTTAGAAAGGCAGGTTGCTGTTGAATAAAAAACATTAAAATGATATGAAACTCACTTCATTCATTTTTCTCACCTCATTAATAACTTTCATGCTAACTGCATGCCATTTGGCCAGCTTGGAAAAGGCTGTTTTGAGTTCCTCCAGTGCAACAGGACGATCCCGAATCACTGAGTATCCTTGTGGCACCAGATCCTCGAATATCATTACCCTACGGGGATCCAGGCTGTGATAGATGCAGGGCACAAATAACTTTGTGTTATCCCCTGCCTCCCGTAGAATCCTCTCGAATTCCGGAAGCACCTGGCAATACATTCCAATCTCGGTTTCGAATATATGCGATTCGCTTAGCATGTCCTTTTTGTGTCCCTCCTGCTCTGGCATCGTCTTTATAATAAGGGGCTTACTAAACTTGCCCTTTGAGGTGGTATACTCAGCAGTAGTGCGGAACATAACGCTGGCATAGTGATCTCCTTGAAAACTCGCGGGTGTGATCTTTAGATCGATCACTTTCAGTTCCGGGGCCTCTTCGTACGCGCTTAGAATTTCTCCTATAAACTGGGGATTCAGCCAAGCCGGGGCCTCCAGTTCATCGTCATTAAACTGTTCCGCATCTATCTTGTCAGTCATTCTACTTGCTGTTGCACAATCTATTCGATAAGTGCCACGACTATTCTGAGTGCTGTTGTAGTTTGTTATGGAAAACCCGTTCACGGGCTTGGCTCATTTTAAGCAAAATGACTGAGCTTTCGAATCGCTTTGATCAAGCTTTTCGTACTCACCGCCACCCTCGGTTCTGATTATAATCAGTTATAACTTATAAGGTTATTATTTAATATCAACATCGAGATTCCGGCAGGAGTCTTTGTAAATATAAAATATGCATTATCACTTCAGTTAAACTGCATTGAAATTTATTTCGCTCATCGAAAATTTCTCTACCAAAACGAGAAAAAAAACTTCTTTAACAAATGCCAATACTTAAGAACTTTTATTTACACAAGGTACGTACTTAAGCAAACAAAGTTGATACCAAATCTTAGTTTTTTAATCATAAGTACACTCACCGAATCTTTTCGATTAATAATATTTTTACCTACTGCCGGTATCCTTATCAAACTGATTAGATCACTTACAGAGTGAGCCATCCAATTAAGTGACGACAAAATATTTACAGGTTTAAATATATCGCAATTTTATAATATACATATGTTCCTTTATTATAAGTTTTATTTCTTTGGTTATTTTATACAATTGTGATTACATTTTCTAAACTAATATAATATTTGTCTATTATTTCTCTATATACAATTTTGTATAGGGTGTACTATATAACACAGGTGTATGATAGAAGGGCCTAGGCATTTCGCTCACTGATCTATATCAAGCAAACCCTCTGCCTCGAAACCGGGCAAAAGTTCCCGTAAAATTCTTTCAGAAATCGGATTCCTATAGCAGGCATTCTTGAAATTGGTGGCCCGCTGGTTGGTTTCCATTAGGGCATTGAAATCGGCATCGGCGGTCTCCACATTTCGCTGAATCGGAAACACCGATATGGATGTGTGGGCAGCTGTAAATTATTATGTATGATATTAGTTCCCATAGATTACTTTTAAAATCATCCTAACTCACCGTAGAATTTCTTCTGGTGCAATTGCTGGTGTAACTGATGCAAGCTGGGGATTGAAGCCTGGTACTGCAGTTTCCTCAGTGTATCCGAGAAAAAGCCGTAGTAATAGGCAATCAGCTGCTCCTGATGATTCTGATGAAGGTCAAACTCCAGCGAGGAGTTCAGGAAGTAGAACAGATCCAGTGCCGGGGATCCCCAAGCCGTGTATTGAAAGTCAATGATAACTGCGTCCAATGGTTCCCCGGTTTCCTTATCGTACTGAACCAGAACATTATTAGTCCAGAGGTCTCCGTGGGCCAGAACATTGATGTGACCGGGGGAGATGTCGAAGATTCGCTTTCCCAGTTCCATGTACAAGGGCTCCAGGGCCTCCATCTTCTCCGCGTACTTTTCATATCCTGGCCACTGGGCCACACGACGCTTCGCCGCCTGGAACATTCCTACGAAGGCACCTTCATAATTATCGGTGTAGCGGTTGAAGAACCCGCGATCGTAGCCCTCCAAAGAGTGGTTCTCACGTTCGTTCAAGACCGCCGAAGTGGCATGCATCTTTGCCAGTTTTCGGAGCACGATTCGAGTTAGTTTTAGATCCAGTCCGACCAAACGATTCGGCATTACGAAACCACGAGCATTCAGATCCTCAAATATCAACGCCGAGTTTTCAATGTCCACGGCCATGGTTTCGGCAAAGATCTGCTCAGGATCGCCAATCTCTCGGAGGAGAGCTTTTGTTTGGGCAGAACCTGTTCGTAGATATTCATCTCGCGATTAAAGATGTCATAGGGTTCCATTGTGTTCTGCGCAAACTCATTTCCCTCGAAGGTGGACTTAATGATGTAGTGACCCAGTTGGGAAGTACCATCGCTTCGGGTGAACTGTGCCTTTACGCGGGTCAGGACTCCTCCGTAGTTTTCACCTTTGCCCAGCGCAGGGTTCACCTTAACCCAGTTGATCCTGATTCTTTGGTCCTTGTAGTACTTTCGCAGGGCATCCTGCAAATAGCTCTCCGTTAGCCATTCAGGAGCATCGAGGAAAACCGAAGTCGGAGGAGCAGGAGAGTCGGGAACTGTGAGCTTAGGGATAGCATCAAGGGCACCAATCAAATCCGAAACCGACATATTGAAAGTGATCTTCGACTTAGAGACTTGTGAACGAAATTGTGCCTAAATCTCAGAGCGCTGCCGCTTTTATGGCAAAATTTCCAGACGGTGCAAACTGTTCCCAGCTCCTAGATATGAAACTGTGTATATCCGAGGGCCTCTCGTCAGAATTGTGATTAATATAACCGTAAAATCGCAGATTTTGTAGACGTGAACGTATGCAAACACGGGCGCACAGATTACACGTTTTATTGGTGTCCCACCTCCAGAACCCATTTTGGCACCCGCCCCAAGCCTCCAGTTCAGTAATCTGGATCTGTTTCCACCTCTCACGCCATGGCTACTGCCTAATTGCGAATTGTTTGAGTTTGCCGAAGGCAAGCCAGTTAATCTTTATAGCATTTGGCGTGGGTTTAGGGCAGCACATGTGTATTTTTTAGTAATTATCCGAGTCTCAGAAATGCTGAACGATTGCCAGCTATATCATTCCAAATGGGAGTGATTTGTGAAAATGCTAACGTCAGACGCTGGGAGAAATCTCAGGGATGTTCGAAAAATATACAACTTCTGGATGATAAGTTATCAATGATATCCTTTTGCGCAGAGTTCATAAGAAATGTAAAATTTTAAGAACAAGTAATATACAATGTTATACCGTTACTCGTAGAGTAAAGGGTATACTAGATTCGTCGGAAAGTATGTAACAGGCAGAAGGAAGCGTTTCCGACCCCACAAAGTATATATATTCTTGATCAGGATCACTAGCCGAGTCGATCTAGCCATGTCCGTCTGTCCGTCTGTCCGTCTGTCTGTCCGTCCGGATGAACGCTGAGATCTCGGATCCTATGGGAGCTAGGCTATTGAGATTTGGCGTGCAGATTCCTGAGCTTCTTACGCAGCGCAAGTTTGTTTCGGCACAGTGCCACGCCCACTCTAACGCCCACAAACCGCCCAAAACTGTGGCTCCTACAGTTTTGATGCTAGAATAAAAATTTTAACTGAAATGTATTGTTCTCATCAATACCTATCGATTGACCCAAAAAAAGTTTGCCACGCCCACTTTAACGCCCACAAAAAAAAACTGTGACGCCCACAATTTTCATGCTAGATAAAAAATTTTAACTAAAATGTATTGGTCTCGTCGATACCTATCGATTGATCCAAAAAAAAATTTGCCACGCCCACTCTAACGCCCATAACGCTTAAATCTGTATACCGCCGGTAGGTGGCGCATTTAGCTGAGTAACGGGTATCTGATAGTCGAGGTACTCGACTATAGCGTTCTTCCTTGTTTGTTTTAGATTTGGTATTTGAAACACACTTTTATCTTGCCGAAATAAAATGTGTGTACCTGTACTTCAACCTAAATAACTTTATATTATCGCTTTATGACTTAGCTTAGCTTAAACTTAGTGGGCCTTTCACTAATAATCCATGTTTACTCTGTCTAGGTAAACATGAGTATTTAAACTATTTTCTCAATGGTTTACAGCTTGGGACAAAGTTTGCAAATGTCGCTCATTACCCAAACGAATGATAACTTTAATCAGTGGATACGTCAAACTAGAAACCTAGAAAACATTTTTTAAACACTAAGCATAGGGTGGTTTCTTTTAAAATGTAAACGACATTACATTAACTTTAAAGCATTTTTTAATTACCAAACTTATAAATATTATTTATTATAAAACTCTCCTGAGCCAAAGTATTAAGCAAATTTTACCAGCTTTATACGTCTGGTTACATATTGAAGCAGTTACTAAGGGATTCTGGACAAACAACTTACAGAGATGTCATAGTACTCGGTTGACGCAGTGCAATTCTGGGGCTTTGAGATAAAATATCATCTTAAATAGTACGTGTAGAACTGGTCCATTAAAACAGCTTACGTAAGACGATGAAGCCGTCGATTGCAAAGTTATGATGATGAATGGGTACACGCGTGATAAGTCGGGCACAAAAATTAAAACGGAATAGAAAAATGAACCTTAATCTTAATGAACTCGGCCAAGCCTCAAGTGAAATGGGAACTTTCCTGAGATTTCGGGTATCTTAATGATGTGAACTGTAGGCGTCTGTTCCCGGCACATAAATCCAAAGATACTATGTCTATCCTAACTGCAGTGTTGAGCAGTGGCACGATTCTTGGCACACGATACACATATTTGAGACCTGTTGCCAAACGGAGTTAATCCCTAGGGCAAACACCCCAGGCTATAGGTGCCATTGTTTGCCCGGGCCTTAACGCTAAGAACGTCAACGCAAGTCAGAAAAAACGATTTGCTAAAAAAAGGAAGTCGCAGATAGCACCACAGAATCAAATACACTTAAAGAAAATAAAATATTTAACGTTTAGTTAGAAAAAATTGAATAATTATTAAAAATAATTCATTGAAACTAAAGTTTGGAAAGGTATATTGTTGGTTTCCTAGCTGTCTTTTTTAGTTTACTAACGAGATGCTAAGCTAAGATATTAACGGTTCTGCTTCCCAACGAGGTGTTTCTCTGAGTGCAGTACAATATCACATACAGAGTGACAAATTTACGTAATTTAGGGGCAGTATAAAAGCAGGCTGCTTAAGGTCGGACACCATTCAGTCTGGAAGACTAACCCAACTAAACAGGATGGCAGCAGCACCCGAGTGGCTTACCCACGAATATATCGAGCACGCCCTGCGCTCCCACTACAAAGATGATGGGCTAACTATAACCGATCTACAGATAAATCCCGCCTTGGGACCTGGCGAAAATTACGGAGGAGTTCTGACCCGTGCTCGTGTGCAATTTGCACTATCCAACCAGGAGAAGCACCTGCAGAACCTGATTGTAAAGACGGAAATTGATGACGATGAGTTGACCCAGGAATGATGGCTCCCTATGATATATACAACCGTGAAATGACAATCTACCAGGAGGTGTTGCCCAAACTTAAGGCGCTACTTAATGAAACCGGAGATACCGAAAGAATCTTTCCCACTGCCATTTTTGTGGATCGCGAGCGCATGGCCATTATCTTTGAGGATTTATCCGTGGCCGGATATGTAATGGCCGATCGAGTACGTCGCCTTAACGAGGAGCACACGCACCTGATCCTCCGAAAGCTGGCCAAATTCCATGCCGCCTCAGCAGTTTTGAATGAAAGGCAAAAGGGAAGCCTAGAAAGCTTCGATCGTGGGTTCTTCAATCGATATACTAATGCTTATAGTGGCTACTTTGTTGGTGGTCTTTTGGCCGCGGCTCGGTGGATGAGCCAGGTGCCCAAGTTGGCCCACTATGGGGAGAAACTATTCGCTCTGGCTCCCCACTACATGGACATCGGCAGGGAGTGCTTCACACCCAACCCGGGTCAAGTCAACGTTCTGGCCCATGGGGATGTGTGGACCAATAATGTGATGTTCAAGTACGATCCAAGTACAGGACGTCCCGTAGACGTCTCCTCATTGACTTCCAGTATTCCTTCTGGGGCTCGCCCTGCATCGATCTCCACCATCTATTCAATACTTCCCTGAAGGAACCTCTGCGTCGGGATCAACAGAGTGCACTCTTCCAGTTTTACCACAGTATTTTTAGTGAAACATTACGAAAACTTGACTACCGTCAGAATCCCATTCCCAGTCTGCATCAATTCAAATTGGAGGTGGAGCAAAAACGTTTCTTTGGTGAGTTACCTTATAAATTTAAGAAATTATAATTATATTATAATAACCCACCTATTTTTTGTAGCTATGCATTCTACAGTGGTCGTACAGCCAGTGATGATCAGTCAGGATCCACGGATGCCTGTTTTAATGCCTTGATGAACGATGATGAGCGTGGCATTCGGTTCAAGAACCGGTTATATAACAATCCCACAGTTCAACAAAATTTGCATTCTCTGGTCCCATTTTTTGATACAAAGGGACTGCTGGAAGTGAACCAAACCTGTTAAGATTTTAAAAGATTGGTTTTAGTTTTTAAATATATTAAATACTCCTGTTATTAATTACTTTATTGTTTTACTCCTTGGGGGACTTAACTTCCGCACAGCAGATAAAAAATTACTCGATTTGGGCTACATTTGTATTAAATGTTTTGGGCAGGAAGACATCTAAAAAAAAACAAACTTTGCAAACGTCGAATTTTTTTTATTTTATCCACTACATAGTTGTTCCCAACGTATTTTTTAAGCATATACATAAAAAGGTTTCAAAAAAATTGATTGTGCTATTAAGGCGGATTTGAAAAACAACTCGACATTTCATTACATACACTCATTTTCATACACATATTTTAGGATCTTGGAAAGTAAAAGAACAAATTTCTCCAGAAAGTGTATTTTACAAAAGTCTCTAAAGAATTTGAATTCAGGCGTATATGCACGCTTAAAAGTCAGCAATATTAAAATAAGTAGAATATAATTTTTTATTTATTTTTTAATGTTCATATCTCAGGAGTGCTCCTATACGGGGCTCCTGAAAGTATGCAGTTGAAATCTTATCAAGACACTTAAAAAACTTTCTAACAGAATCTTCTAGCTCTTTCTGTTGTGAAAATCCTTGTGAAATTAGAAGTTCCCAGCCGATTTCTATAGATAGGTAAACAATGCATTATCAGTAACAAAAAGATCCACTGTTGATCTGTAAATAGCTCCCAACAAGTGAAACCCACTCAGATGCCAGACACACGTTTGTGTGGGCTTGACTATGCAAATGGGCAGTTGGATTTATGGGCTGTAAAGCAGATTAATTTGGCACGGGAACGAGAGCGATCTTTAAACGCCACGTCAGCAAGTTTTTGACGTGAATTACGGCACCTTACATCATATATGGACGCGTGTACCGATATAATAGGTGTTATCTCACCCCCATAAGTGTCGCGGTTTGAGCCTTGCCTTTATCTAGTCAGCTTTAGATACTCGCGATTCTCTAACGTAGGAATCGAAATGTACGCTGCAAGGCAGCTACGTAATTGCTGAGTCGACTTGCTTTACGGCTGCAATAATGTGGGATCTGTCGTCGACGAGATTGTGCCTTCCGGCTGCCTATAAATGGGGCCTCCGACAGCAGCCAGCGATCTAGAACTCAAGTTAGGCATCATCATGGTGGAGCTGGAGAAAGAAGACGCTACCGACTTTCATCCGGCACCAGTTTGGCTGGATGAGCCCTATCTGGAAAATCTGCTCAGGGACCTCAAGAAGGATCCGGGTCTGCGGATCACCGAACTGGTGATAAAACCCGCCACTGCCAAGGGTGATAACTATGCTAGTGTGATGACGCGCGTTAAGATTTTGTACTTAAAAAGTGGCGCCAAAAATCCTGAAATTGAGTACTATATTGTGAAGACTACGTATGAGAACGATGCCTTTGCCTCGGGTATATTCTCGCAGTATCAGGTCAGCACTACGGAAATGCGAATGTACGAAAAGATCCTGCCCCAGTTTACTAACCTCATCGCCAAAACCAGGCAGCCGGAAAAACTGTTTGCCCAGACAATGCATGTTGACTATGAGCATGAAGCCATCATCTTTGAGGATCTGGCGGTTGCGAAATATGTCTTGGCTGACCGACTGATCGGTTTCGACCTGGAGCACACTCGTTTGGGACTCCGAAAGCTGGCCAAGATGCATGCAGCCGCAGCAGTTTTTAATGAACGGCAACCTGGAGTTCTGACCAAATTCGATCATGGCATCTTCAATCGCCACACCCAGGGATTTGCACCATTCTTTGTGAATATGGTGGGCGTAGCATCTGATTTTGCCCGCGAATGTCCAGAGTTGGGTGAGCACTATGCTAAGAAATTGAAGGATCTGCAAAAGCGAGTGATGGAGTACTCCACAAGGGTCTATGATCCTCAGCCGGGGGAGTTTAACACCTTGGTGCACGGCGATTACTGGGTGAACAATGTGATGCTGCGCTATGGGGAGCAAAAGGAGCCCCTGGACATGACCCTGATCGACTTTCAGTTCTGCAGCTGGTCCTCACCGGCGGTGGACCTCCACTACTTCTTCAACACCTCGGTTCAGTGTGCCATTCGGATCGAGCAACAGGACGCACTGATTCAGTATTATCACTCGGTGTTGGTGGAAACGCTCAAGGATCTCAACTTTGGAGGCTACACACCCACATTGAGGCAGTTCATACTGCAGCTGGAAAGGGGGAGATTCTTTGGTAAGCAAGCAATGGCTGTTCTTTTTAAACTATCCTAATATTTGGTTTTCGATTCGCTTAAATAGCCGTCACAGTCTCACTGGTCTGCCAGGCTATATTGACCAATGATCAGACCGCCGATGCAGATTTCAATGCCCTGATGAAGGAGGACGAGAGAGGACGTAACTTCCGGAAATTATTGTACACCAACAAGAGATTGCAGACAATCTCAAATACATGCTGCCACGCTTCGATCGGAGCGGTCTTCTAGATATCACCGACTGAACAAAAGACCCATTTTTCAAGAACTTCTCTCATGTTCTTCATCCTAACAGTATAAATAGCTATGTCCCATGTAAAATGGAATATATAAAACATAAAATGATTTCAGTGGTTTTGTTATTTGTAGTGAGAAAAGGTAACATAAAATATTTACATATCACACTATAATGCGAGAAGCGTGCTTATAAAAGCAAAAGATAAACAGAGGCAACAGTGCGTATGAGTGATTATTATAGCGCTGCCAATAAACTCGTCGTCTCCATCCCTTTAAAGCTTTCTTTGTTACCTATATAAAGATACACGATATTGCTTTTATTTTTATAACATTTAAAATACGATTGTTAGTGACGCTTTGAGTTCATAATACAATATTATTACTTTATTAAATAAATTATTTTATTTTATTTGCCCAGACCCATGGATTTATCTTTTTGCGCATTTCGCCTATTTCTATTTCACCATGATTCAAGGGCATGTAACTGTTATTACCCGAGATTTTTATTATTGTTTGCACTTCTTGTTTGTCGAGGGTTCAACACTATATTGTCGATTTCAAGTAGATCCTTTCGTTATCAGTCAAGAACACTGTCTCTCATGTGAAAAGGTCAGTTATGGCTGAATGCAGCAATGGCAATTATCACTATCTGTCAAAGGTTCTATACAAATAATGGTAGACTACAAATTTCCAAGAATTTATATATGCAGTACGTAATATACCCAGAAGTTTTTTTTTACTAAGCTACACTGAGGGAAAAAACTCAGTCCAAATTGGTATTCCTTACAAGCTTGCGGTCGTGAGTTTAATAAAAACACATAATTTCAAAGTTAATTATTTTTCTTTAGCTCCTTTTTAGCCATATAAAGTATTCTTAAATTAAACAAAATTCCAATTGTTCTAGATTTAAGACATTTTGTCTTAATTTAAGAACATTCGGTCTTGACTCATTTCTATGACCAAACGTTCTTAATTTAAGAACAATTTTTTAATTTTACACTTTTTTTTATCTGTGTACTAACATTCGTATCACATTTCGTCTAGCAAACCGAACTGATCAAGAAAGGGTAGCGTGACACTTAGCTTCTTTTTAACGGCCTCCGGCTCATAAACAGAATCTTTGAATCGCATTGCACTCTCTGAATTGGAAAGAACCTGCTCAAGAGAAGCTTCCTCCTTGCCCTCGTACATCATGACGGGCTCGAAAATCAGCGAACAAAAGACAGCTGGAAATTTATAAAATTCTATTAATAATTTAGTTAATAAGAAACCAGATGTACTTACCATAAAATCCTCTCGAGCGGAACTGCATTTGGAAATCAAACAAACTGGGTATCGTGCCAGAAAACTTGAACTTCTTGAGGGCCTCCACTAGCTTGTAGTAATAGAACTGAACCAATTCCGACTGATGCTCGAAACGGAGATTATCTTGCAACGAGGTGGCAAAAAAATAGTGCAGATCGATGGCTGGAGAGTTCCACACGCTGAACTGGAAGTCGATGAATATGGCATTTTTGGGATGATCTTTGTCATCATACTGGAACATAAAATTTGTGGTCCAAAGATCCCCATGAGCTAGGGTTAAAAAATCGCCAGGACTATTTGTCGTGGACCTTTCGCCATAGTCCATTAGATGTTCGATTAGCCGATCGATCTTGTCCTTGTATCGTGGACCCAACTCCTGATCCGAACTGAGGGAGCGGGAAAGGGCCTCCAGAAGATTGGTCATGATCTTTCCGTAGGCCCGGGTGTGTTTGTTAAAAAATCCTCGATCATAGTTTTTTGCAAAGATTCCTGGTTGACGCTCGGCGAGAACGGATGCAGCTGCATGAAAACTAGCCAGCTTTTCCAGCACCAGATGAGTGTGCTCTAGATCCAGTTTCTTCCGGCGACAGGCCACCTTGTAGTGATCCAGCGACATATCCTCAAAGATGATCGAGTCCCGCTTACGATCCACGTCCATGGTTGCAGCAAACAGCTTCCTAGGGTCTTTTAGCTCCTTCCTCACCATATCCGCCAGTTGAGGCAGGATGCTCTCGTATATTTCCATTTCCCTGGTGTAGACCCCATAGTGGATGAGCACATCGCCCGCGGGATCCTGGTCCGCAAATGTAGTCTTGACCAGGAAGGTAGTGACCTGCTTGTCCTTAACCTCCTTTGTGGTGTACTCCACATTGATTCGCGTCATCACGCTGCCATAGTTTCCTCCATTGGCCACGGCTGGCTTTGTGTCCAGATTCTCCAGTTTCAAGGAACTGTTCTTGAAGTAGATCCTCAGCTTTTCCTGCACATAATCCGAGGTCAGCCAATCGGGAGCCGGGTGAACTTTGTGGGCGCTTTTCTCAGGCATGATCCTAACCGTAACTCAGGGCTTTCGTTTCTGCGACATTTCTGACAGCGACCCACTACTTTTATAGTCTTATCCAGTATATGTGATAAGTATAGTGCAAGTATCTCGTGGCGATTAGCTTTGTCATGGTCAAACAACACTTGAATGATCTGCGAGTCTAGGCGAATGCTCACATTTTTTTACAATGCACTTTTCTTTAAGTATTCAACTGGCATTACGAGTTCCAGGAAATCTGAATTCCCGACTGATAAGGCTACCGATTCACTATAAAAAAAAACATTTGTTATTATGTCTAATGCATTTTTTTATTCTTTTCTTGAAAGACTTTTTAAGTATGGAATATAATTTGTGTATCAAAGAGAATTTAATAAGCCGTTAGCTAATGAACATTTTTCTAGGAATTGCCGCTTATCTTCTATTGCTAATTTTAAAGTCAATATCTATAAAACAATCTGAAAAACATTTATTATGACAATTGTGCCGTTTTTGTGATTTTAGCACACATAGCAATTCAATTAACACCTTTAAACCATGTAAAAGGTAGTATACTTTTTATGAATGTGGGTTATATAAACAAGATAAAGTAGTTGGGTACGTTTTATTTTAATGCCAACAAAATAGTATATAAAATAATTTTTTTTGTTTTACAAAACGTCTAATAACCCCAAGTGGTCAAGAAACGGCAGAGTTAGGTGCATCTTTTTTCTGATTTCTTCAGACTGATATAGGTCGTCCTTGAACCGCATTCCCTTTTCCGAGGACGACATTATCTGCTCCATGGACGCTTCTTCCTTGCCATTGTACGCCATCGAAGGCTCGAAAATCAGGGATGCAAAGGCAGCTAAAAGATAAAGTAATTTTATTTTGTAAATAAAACAAATAATAAATAAATATATACCGACCATAGAAAGCTCTGTTTCGGAACTGCTGATGAAACGCGAATAGACTTGGAACATGTCCAGAATACTTCACTGCTTTCAAAGCATCTTTTAATTTATAATAGTAGAATTGGACCAACTCTGGCTGATTCTTCAGGCGGATATTTGCCTGCAAAGCAGTGGAAAAGAAATAGTGCAGATCGATGGCCGGCGAGTTCCAAACGCTGAACTGGAAGTCTATAAAGATAGCATTGACGGGATGACCTTCGTCATTGTACTGGAACATAACATTTGTGGTCCAGAGATCTCCATGAGCCAAGGTCACAAAATCCCCGGGACAAATAGAAGTCGATCGCTCGCCGTAGTCCATTACATGGTCGACCAGCCGATCTATTTTTGCCTGGTAACGCTGACGCAGCTCCGGTTCCAGCTCTAAGGAACGGGACAGGGCCTGCAGAAGATTTCTCATAATGGGCTCGTAGCCCCGGGTGTGTTGGTTAAAAAATCCTCGATCGAAATTCTTCGAAAAGATCCCCGGTTGTCTTTCCGCTAAGGCTGCTCCAGCTGCATGGAAATTAGCCAATTTCTCGAGGACAAGATGGGTGTGCTCGAGATCAAACTTCTTGAGGCGATCGGCAACTCTATACTCCTCCAGAGACAGATCCTCGAAGAATATTGAGTCTCGTTTGCGATCCACATTTACAGTGCCCGCAAACAATTTCCGGGAGTCTCCCAGCTCATTCCGCACCAAATCCGCCAGCCTGGGCAGGATCCGCTCATACATGTCCATTTCCCGGGTATAGACCCCGTAATCCATAAGCACCTCCTCCGCCGGACCTCGGTCGGCGAAAGTAGTCTTAACCAGGAATCTAGTGGATTCTTTTACCTTTGATTTATTTAATGTGTATTCCACATTGATTCGCGTCATCACACTAGAGTAGTTCTCCCCATTACCAAGAGCTGGCCTGATATCCAGGTTCTCCATTTTAAAGGAGTCATTCTTAAAGTAGGATCGCAGCTTTTCCTCGACGTAATCCCAAGTGAGCCAAGAAGGTGCTGAAAGCGGCATGATACGATCCGTAGCGCAGGCCCTTTGTTATTGCTCATTTTTCATCGGTGTCGTTCGGCTTTTATACCCCCTTGGTTTCAATTGATAAGTACATGTTTATTATTCTAGTCCTATCTATCAATCTATCTCACTTATCTGTCATACCTGTTATCTATAAACTCACTTGAATTAACGATGAGATAAATTATGAAAATTCAATTGCACCTCTGCTCGAAATTAGCTGCGAGCCACTGTATTATTTTTAGATATTTCCGAGTCTAGTATTTTCTGATGGTTAAATTACATTCGTAAGCTTGCCCACTTAGTAGGGGAAATGTTTGGCGACATCAGTTGTGCTTTGCCCCATCTCACAGTTATCTTTAGTCAGGCATTATAACGAACAAGGAATAGAAAATATAAAAAAGTAAAGTCAACATATCTTCTTGGACTTAAGCTCCTAAGTTGCCAGCAATTGAAAAGATAGCCGAGAGCAAGACCGAGAGAATTTAATAAGACAGCTAACTTTCAGTCACCGTTTCTTTTTTTCAGACAAAGAATTCGATTTTTGTAGTGTAGTACTGATAAGCCATAGAATAGCGACTACTGTTTATCTAGACCAACCATCTAACAAGATGGCAACATTTTTACACTACAATTTTTAATGGATCTTAAAAAATGTTAAAAGAAATATGAAATTCAATTTGAGATTTAAGCACACTTTTTTACATTTCGTCCAGCAATCCCCACTGATCGAGGAACGGCAGCGTTAGAGGCAATTTCTTTATATTTTCTTCGGTCTGATAGACTGCATCTCTCAATCGAACTCCCTTCTCATCAGTGGTCATAAAGCTCTCTATGGACGGCTCTTCCTTGCCATTATACACCATGGTGGGTTCAAAAATCAGTGACGAAAATACAGCTAGGAAAAAGAGTTAGTTAAAATAATTATGTAAACCAATATTTCAGTTATTATGATAACTCACCATAAAAAGCTTTCGCCCTGAATTGTAGTTGGAACTCAAATAAACTGGGGACCTTGCCTGAATAGTTTACCTTTTTTAGTGCCGTCACGAGCTTATAATAATAAAATTGGACCAGCTCTGTCTGATGCTGCAGACGAAGATTTTCTTGGATCGAAGTCGAAAAGAAATAATGCAGATCGATGGCCGGAGAGTTCCACACACTAAACTGGAAGTCGATAAAGATGGCATTTATGGGATGACCTTCATCATCGTATTGGAACATAACATTGGTAGTCCAAATATCTCCATGAGCCAGGGTCACAAAATCACCGGGACTAACAGACGTTGATCGCTCACCGTACTCCATTACATTATCGATGAGCCGATCAATCTTCCCTTGGTAACGTTCTTTCAAATTCTTATTTAACTCTAGAGTGCGCGACAAGGCTTTCAAAATATTCTTCATAACGGGTTCGTAGCCGCGAATATGTTTGTTAAAAAATCCTCGATCGTAGTTCTTTTCAAAGATCCCATGCTGGCGCTCAGCTAGAACTGCTCCAGCAGCATGGAAATCGGCCAGTTTCTCCAGGACCAGATGGGTGTGCTCCAGGTCCAATTTTTTTACGCGACAAGCCACTTTGTACTTCTCAAGGGAAAGGTCTTCGAACATGATCGAGTCCCGCTCTCGATCTACGTTCACTGTAGCCGCAAACAGTTTTCGGGAATCGTGGAGCTCATCCCTCACTATACCTGCCAATCGGGGTAGGATCTGCTCGTACATGTCTATCTCCCTCGTGTAGATCCCGTAGTTGAAGAGCAAATGGGCCGCCGGATCTTTGTCGGCAAACGTGGTTTTCAGTAGGAACGTAGTTTTCTGTTTATCCTTAGAATCCTCTGTGGTGTACTCCACTTTAATTCGCGTCATTACACTTGCGTAGTTTTCTCCATTGGCTGTCGCCGGTCTGATCTCCAGTTTCTCCACATTAAGGGTGTCATTCTTGAAGAAGATTCTTAACTTTTTCTCCACGTATTCCTCGGTCAGCCACGCGGGCGCCCTATGGGTCGTTTCCTCAGGCATTATGTTAAGATTCTACTATTTTCCGGAGGAGGTGTAACGCTTTTATATGCCGGTGGGAGGTCTGAACATGATAATAATACATGACACGGCGTATCTCTCGGGACGTAAGCTCCTTAATTGCCACCAATTGAAAAGTTAGCCGAGAGCAAATGCGAGAAAATGTATCAAGATAAGGTTTCGCACTATGGGCATGTAGTACTGGTGCTATCATAGAATAGCTACTATTGTTTAGGTAGCGCTTACACTAACTTAAATTATTACATTAGGTACAGTGCCACGAATATCGGTATCTTGATATAAAATAATTAATTTAACAATAGAAAAACCTAATTTAAATTGATTTTAATTTTTAATAATTAAAGACAGGGCACATTTTTGACATCGATAAGATGGTTTTTTTAGAATTTATTAATTTAAATATAACATAAGGTAATTTACATATCATCCAGTAGTCCCAACTGATCAAGAAAGGGCAGTGCGAAAACCATTTTCTCTTTAATATGGTCAGCATGATAAACAGAGTCCCTGAACCGGATTCCACTCTCGGAAGGGGACATACCCTGTGCAATGGAAGCCTCTTCTTTTCCAGTATACAGCATACAAGGCTCGAAAATCAGTGAGGAAAACACAGCTAGAAGAAATATATGTTTATATACATTTTATTAAATAATTTAAATTTCCTTACCATAAAAAGCTCTGGCCTGAAACTGGAGCTGGAAGTCAAATAAAGTCGGAATATGTTGAGAATACTTCAGCTTCTTTAGCGATTCCACTAGCTTGTAGTAATAGAACTGAACCAACTCTGGCTGATGTTTCCAGCGAAGATTGTCCTGTATCGAAGTGGAAAAGAAATAGTGCAGATCGATGGCCGGAGAGTTCCATACGCTGAACTGAAAGTCAATTAGAATGGCGTTGGTTGGGTGACCTGATCATCATACTGAAACATGACGTTTGTTGTCCAAAGATCCCCATGCGCTAGGACTAGAAAGTCGCCTGGATTGACTGACGTTGATCGTTCGCCGTAATCCATTATATTATCGACTAGGCGATCTATCTTCCGCTGATAGCGCTCTTTTAGGTTTTATTCAGTTCTAGGGAGCGCGACAAGGCCTGCAGAAGATTCTTAAAGGTTTGCTGATAGCCCCGAACATGTTTGTTGAAAAATCCTCGATCGTAGTTCTTCTCAAAAATTCCGGGCTTTCGCTCGGCAAGAACTGCTCCGGCAGCGTGGAACCTAGCCAGCTTTTCCAGAACCAAATGAGTGTGTTTGAGGTCGAGTTTCTTTAGGCGACAGGACACTTTGTACTGTTCCAGCGACAAATCCTCAAAAATTATGGAATCCCGCTTGCGATCTACATCCACAGTAGCTGCGAACAACTTCCGGGAATCCTTGATCTCGTCCCTAACCATTTTTGACAGGTGAGGCAAGATCTGCTCGTATATGTCCATTTCTCTGGTGTAAACCCCATAGTCGGCCAGTAAGATGGCCGCCGGATCCTTGTCGGCGAAGTTGTCTTAAGCAGGAATGTACCAGTCTGCAGGTCCTTTGAATCCTTTGTAGAGTAATTCACATTGATGCGGGCCATCACGCTGGCGTAATTATCTCCTTTGGCTGTCGCAGGCACAATCCCCAGATTCTTCAACTTTAGGGAGTCGTCCTCGAAATACTTACACAATTTTTTTCCACGTAATCCTCGGTAAGCCATGCTGGTGCCTGAGGGCATTTTTCTCAGCCATAATGCGATCCTAACGTTAGCTCTGTTGTTTCGGTATGTACCTTTCGTGCTAAGTTCCAACCTTTATCTTATGGCGTCTAACTTTGTAAATGCACATTGCTTGCTTTTATAATCTCTCTAAGCTTTATAGTTATTGGCCTTAATATAATGTAGTATTAAATAAGTTTAATTCACTATTAACTAGCAATCCACTTATAGCAATGGTATTATATTGTGTTTGTAATGAGATGGTAGTATTTATTGAAGGAATACATTGAATAAGGGCGTTTTTTTGGTTTCCCACCACACGTAATAGGCCTTGGAATTGTAGATCTAGAGATTAAGATGGCTGGTTCTCTATCTCAAAGGTTATAAAAAAAACACCTGAACCAAATTAAATACCCATCTTTTTAGGTAGGTATGTTTTTACAGTCCTTACATTTTTCCAAATAGGGTAGTGTAAGATGGAGCTTCTTTCCTAACAGGTGTATCATACCATTTTTAAATAGGTGAAATGCTACCTACACCAGCATTTCGGTGACTCATAAAAGCGACATCTGTTTAGCCAGGGATTACACTACATAAAGGAACTTAGCCTTTACATTTATGAACTCATGTACATAGCACGCACAGCAGAACTGAGTAATTGGCGATAAATGCAGACAGCAACTAACATGAACAATTATGGAAAACAAAGTTGAGTTCTTGTTAATGGGTTTTCATTTTAATTATATATATCACTATAACAAGTACGAAAGAATGATCTATTATCTAATAGATTATTAGGTCGAACTTGATCTAAAAGTCCCAACCGGCGTATTCTTTTACCACATCCTTGTTCTCCTTGCGATGACGATGGACGGCACTGGCTTCACCTTTGGCCACACACTTCTTTCGCTGCTCCCGCTTCTCCTTGATATCCATGTTCTTGCGTATCCGGTCGGTGATCACGGAAGGAGCTATTGTACTTGTTGTGGTCGAGTACGACCGCTGACTTCTCGCATCATTGAGCATTTGCTCGACCATTTTAAGACGATACATGCGAGAGTTAGGATCTAGGCCAGCTAGCTCAGGCACTTCATCTGTATCCAAATCGTTGGAACTAATGGACCTGGCATCTTCCGCTGCGGTCAGGGTAGGATGAGTTTCCACTTCGACTGGAATAACTTTTGGAGCCTCAACCGGCGGAGAAACTTCAATTTTCTTGGGAAGCGTTTGATCGGGAATTTCTGGACCAACGCTTAGATTGCCCAGATATTGCGTACAGGATTCGATGTACCGACGCACTGCGTCATCTGACTTCTGAGTTGGCTTGGTCTCGCTGTAAGTCACCTCGTTCTCCACCTGACGTCGGCACTCGTCGATCTCTACAGCTGCCGCAGTAACTAAAGTGGGGGGCTCATCTTCTTCTTCAACATCCTCTCCCTCGTCATCCTCATTTGCGTGCTCCACCATACCGTACTCCTCGAGAAGATCCTGCTCCATCTCTTTCGTAAAGCCATAGCCCGTGCAATGAACCTCAGCATCCAGATCATCCTCACGCACCAGATCGCTGAACTTGGGTAGTCTTCGCTTTCGTAACCAAATTTGCGACGGAACATTTCACGCACACAATTAACATCGCGATCGAAGAAGCTGCAATAAAATGGGGCATGAAAACGATTGAGAGAATTATTTTTCGGACTCTTACAATTCTGCATTTTCATGTGAAGTCGACATCATCTGCGGAAAATCAATTAGTATGGGCTTGCCATCGTCGGTGACCATTAAATTAAACTCATTAAAATCGCCATGAATAACTCCAGAATTCCCCAGACGGACAATAAGGTTCATAAGATCATCGTACACCTGTGGAGCGTCCAGCAGCTCGTGAACTTGGGTCCTGCAAATTAAGAAATATTTAGTAACCATTATTTTTACTTAAAGCAACCATCTTACATGGGCCAACCCTTGACGAGGTCCATAAGCACGCAGTGGCGATTAAAATCGATGGGTTTGGGCACCGGGAATCCGCGATCATAAAGCGCCGACATGTAAGCAAACTCGCGGGTGGCCGAGATGCGGGATAGGTACAACCAGGAGGCCTTATGCCGACGACCGTGGTAGTCTCTCTTGGCCTTCACGTTTCTGAAGCAAGTGCGACCCAATCGGTGGAGTTTCAGGCAAATGGCAGTGCCCTCCTCGTCAGCCACCACGTAGATGTTGGACTCCTTGCCAATGCCAATTTGGTTGCCGAAGGAACTGACCGATCCCCTCAAGGTGAGGGATTTCAGAGCCAGGTAATCGTAGCCCGTGTTGGTCAAGCGGTAACCATCATCTGTGGGTAAAAGAGGTCAATTAGTTAAGTTTTTCCATCTTAAGCAATTCTTACACTTCTTTCCCCGCTCGTAGCCAGCAGCTTGTGCTTGCACAGCTCCTTGAGCAGCTTGTGGACTCCACCAGTCTTCAGATTCGCAATGGCAGCGGCCAAGGGTCCGGGGACCAGTTCGTGGTTCTTCATGCCCATCTCGATGGCGGTAAGAACGCGGAAGTCCTCCTTGGTGAGGTATCGCAGAACTGTCACGTTTAATTTGCCCATTGTCGCTTTATTTTGGCAGTTTAACCACGCATTTATCAATGTTTTCGTTCCGTTCACACGTGCAGGCACTAGAGATGGCAGTGAATCGATTGTCAGTCCACCGACTGTTTCAGGAATACCCATATTATTTATTTGATATTCTTACTATTGATATCAGCCCCAGCAAACTGTGTGATCAATTATATTTAAGCTTTTTTTATCTGAAACAAGTTTAATTTAAATTTATTTTATAAGGTTTCATTCCCATATATGTTATTTAAATTGAAATTTAATAAATTAACAGAGAAACTAACCACTTATTTTTGGAAGTGTACCACTGAAAGTAGCGATAGTTTTTTGCACAGCAATGCAACTGGTGTTTTTTATCCCGGCCGCGAACGGTCATACTGAGCTGCACATCGTCATCAGAAAGAGACAAAAGAGCAGAGGACATGGCTGGCGAGGATCTGATTGCCCAATTCCAGGCGCTCGGCATGAGCGAGCAGAAGGCGAAGGAGACTCTGAAGAATGCCAACGTCACCAAGAACCTCCAACTGGCGTTGGCGGCGGCGGGGAGTGCCTCCCTATCCGACGGCACCGGTATGCTGATTTACCACATGGCCACCAAACTGAAGCCGCAAACGGCGGAGCAACTGCCTCTCCTGGTGCGCTATATTGTGGAGCGTAAACTGGACAACACGCAGCGCGTGGACGCCGCTTTGGAGTACGTGCTCAAGTGTGGACAGAGCCTGAAGGCCAACATCGATGTCCAGGCGCTGGAGAAGGAGTGCGGCGTTGGAGTGGTGGTCACTCCGGAGCAGATCGAGCGCACTGTGCAGGCCAAGATCAAGGCCAGCTACAAGGATGCCTTGTTGGAGCAGCGCTACCACTTTAACTCCTTCAAAATCCTGCAGGACGTCCGTGGCGAGCTTAAATGGGCGGATGCCAAGTCCGTAAAGGCGGCTATCGATGTGGAGATCTTCGATCTGTTGGGTCCTAAGACGGAGGCAGACCTGAAGCCTCCCACCAAGGCGAGCGAGAAGACGAAGGCAGCGAAACCCAAAGCGGATGCAGCTCCTACCTCCCAAGCCGATGAAGCAGAGTCCGATGGGGCCACCACGATTGCAGAACTCATGAAGACCAAGGTGCACTTCCATGCCCCCGGCGAGAACTTTAAGGCCGACGGCTATGTTGTCACCGAGCACACGGAGCGGCTGCTGAAGGAGCACTTGGCAAGGACTGGAGGCAAAGTGCACACGCGATTCCCGCCAGAACCGAATGGCATCCTGCATATCGGTCATGCCAAGGCCATTAACATTAACTTTGGCTACGCAGCTGCCCATGACGGAGTCTGTTATCTCCGCTATGACGACACCAATCCCGAGAAGGAAGAGGAGAAGTTCTTCTTGGCCATCAAGGAGATGGTGGAATGGCTGGGCTACAAGCCCTACAAGATCACCTACTCCTCGGACAACTTCCAGCAGCTTTACGAGTGGGCAGTGGTCCTTATCAACAAGGGATTGGCTTACGTGTGTCACCAGAAAGCGGAGGAGCTAAAGGGATTCAACCCGAAGCCGAGCCCCTGGAGGGAGCGTCCCATTGAGGAGTCACTGCGGTTGTTTGAGGACATGAAGCGCGGCAAGATCGACGAGGGAGCAGCCACGCTGAGAATGAAGGTCACCCTGGAGGAGGGCAAGATGGACCCGGTGGCTTATCGCATCAAGTTCATTGCCCACCACCGCACGGGCTCCGACTGGTGCATTTACCCTACCTACGATTACACCCATTGCCTCTGCGACTCGCTCGAGGATATCACCCACTCTTTGTGCACCAAGGAGTTCCAATCGAGAAGATCTTCGTACTACTGGCTTTGCAACGCTCTGGGTATCTACTGCCCTGTGCAGTGGGAGTACGGTAGGCTCAACATGAACTACGCCCTCGTTTCGAAGCGCAAGATCGCCAAGCTGATCACGGAGCAGATTGTCCACGACTGGGACGATCCCAGGCTGTTTACTCTCACAGCCCTGAGAAGGAGGGGCTTCCCCGCAGAGGCCATTAACAACTTCTGCGCCCAGATGGGCGTCACCGGAGCCCAGATCGCTGTGGATCCAGCGATGCTCGAGGCAGCAGTGCGGGATGTACTCAATATCACTGCTCCGCGCCGTTTGGTTGTCCTGGAACCACTCAAAGTTACTATCAAGAACTTCCCGCATGCGGCGCCCGTGCAGCTGGAAGTGCCTGATTTTCCGCAGAACCCACTGCAAGGATCGCACAAGATCACCCTGGACGAGGTCATCTATATCGAGCAGGGAGACTTTAAGTTGGAGCCCGAAAAGGGATACCGCCGCCTGGCGCCAAAGCAATCGGTAGGTCTCCGGCACGCTGGTCTCGTCATCAACGTGGAGGAGATTGTAAAGGATCCGGCGACGGGAGAAGTGGTGGAACTCATCTGCACCAGCCAGTCTGCTGAGCAGGCGGAGAAGCCCAAGGCCTTTGTCCAGTGGGTTTCGCAACCTATTCAGCTGGAAGTGCGTCTCTACGAGCAGCTCTTCAAGCACAAGAACCCCGAGGATCCCAACGAGGTGCCCGGCGGTTTCTTGAGCGACATCAGCGAACAGTCCATGTCGGTGGCCGTAGCATTTGCCGATCGGGCTCTTACCCAGGCCAAGGTCTACGATAAGTTCCAGTTCGAGAGGATCGGCTTCTTCTCCGTGGATCCAGACACCACCACGAACCACATAGTGTTCAACCGCACCGTGGGCCTCAAAGAGGATGCGGGCAAGAAGTGATAGGCGCACAGGATTTCCAGGACCCACTCAGAAAAGAAACAATAACCGTATCACATTAAAATTCGATTTATAAAATCAGCCCTTATTTCTTTCCCTCCACCATGATAATGTGGTAGCCGAACTTGGTCTTGACCGGGGGATCTGTGTACACGGGATTGTTGACGGTAGAGATGGGCAGTGCAAAGGCGGCGTCCTGGAAGGGACCCACCATCGCTCCGCGGATTTGCCAGCCGAGGTCGCCGCCCTGACGCGCCTTGTCCTCGCTGTAGGCGGCAGCCACCTCCGGGAACTTCTGGCCCGCCTTCAATTTCTCCATGGCCTCGGTGATCTTGCCTTGCTTTTCGCACAGGATGTGGCGCACCTTCACCGCATTGCCTCCCTTTTTCTCCTTGCCGGCAGCTGCACAGGTTGGATTGTCATTAAATGGCTTTGAAAATTGGGGGTATTCTATATGCACATACACTTGTCCTCAGCGGCTGGCTTTTTGCCGCCTTTACCCGCGTCCTTGCCGCCCTTTGCGTCCTTCTTTGGTGGCATTTTCGTTTAAAATTTTCTAAATTGCAAATTCCAACCAAATAAACAACAATAAATTCGACTGGAGCTGCCACATGGGCAGTGCTGCTCAAGAAATTTTGGCGGTTTTTTACCTAGCTTTTCATTTATCGAGCGAAGTAGTTAGTTAATAGTTATGCTTTTGGGTAATTTAATTAAAATGCTATATGAATAATTTATATAAAAACTTTTTTCATATAGTTATTTTTTATTGCAAAGGTTCGCAGAACTGATCCGATAAGTTATCGATAGCTGCAACCTGTTTTCGCAAATGGTCATACTTCGCTGCACTTTCTAATCAGAAAGCTTACTTTTACTTTGCTTCAAAGATAACCCACCCACAAGAGATTAAGAAATCCAGGAATTATAGCGCCCTCTTAGCCACATGGAACTGAGCTGGGAGATAGTGCTTTGCGTGGGCATAGCCGTGCTGGTTCACGTTCTGATCTACCTGTTCGTCATGGGCAAGCGGCCGAGCAGCATTGTGGGGCGTCATGTGGTTGTCACCGGCGGATCCAAGGGAATTGGTCTCTGTCTGGCGGTGGAGTGCGCCATGAAGGGCGCAAATGTGACAGTAATAGCCCGCGACGAAAAAATGCTGAGTGAGTAATGCTTCGACAAGGAAACCCCACCCAAAGTTTCCTTATCTACATACATAGGTAATGATACCCCAACTCGTTTTCAGGCGGAGCTGTGGCTCTGATGGAAGTAATCCGCCAACGGCCAGATCAAAAGTTCCAGTACAGAAGCCTGGACATTGGAGGCGACTATGAGCAGGTCTCCCGAGTGCTGAGCGAGATCGAGGACAGCTTTGGCCCCATATACACGCTGATCAACTGCGCCGGTATGGCCATTTGCGGTGTGTTCGAGGAGGTCTCTGTCCAGAATATGCACAAGCTGATGAACGTGAACTTCTTTGGCACCTACAACTGTACCCGGTATGTCCTGCCCAAGATGAAAAAGGCGGGCGAGGGAATCATTGTGATCACTGCATCACAGGCGGCGATGTTTGGCATCTACGGATACGGACCCTATTCGGCCACCAAGTACGCCCTGAGGGCAATGGCCGAGACGATAGCCATGGAGTCCCGGGAGCACGGGGTCAGCGTGACTTTGGCCATGCCCTGCGATACGAATACACCCGGATTCAAGGAGGAGGAGAAATCCAAGCCAAGGGAAACCAAAATAATCTCTGGCGGAGGCGGCCTGATAGAGCCGGAAGTTATGGCCAAAGCTATTCTCAACGATGCCTTGGTGAGTTAGTTATTAAGTGTTGATCTGCACAATAACTAACTTCGTTATCCTCAATTTTAGAAGGGCAACTTTACCTCAACGGTCGGCGCGGAAAGCTGGCTTATCACCACATTGGGTGGAGCATTACTCCCGTGGGATGGCTTCTTCACCAATCTCCTGCACGCCATCGTTTTGGGACCCTTGCGATTAGTAAGCTACGGATTGCACAAGTACTTCAACATGTCATACGCAAATGCGCTCGAGAGGATAAAGCCAAGGCTGGATCTGAAGTGGACGCCAAGTGAAAGCTTAACTGTCTCGATGCTCTTAGTATTCCAAGTGCCCAGTACATTATATGTTTCCATTGCAAATCACAAAGTGCAATTATTTTGCACGAGAAACGGCCACTCCAAATTTTCAGATGGCTCATATTTATCAGCCGTTAATATATACACATGTGTTTTGTAACATTTTTATTATTGCCTTGCTAAAGCTAACTATTTGTATCGCATTTTATAGTCAAGGTTACGTGTGCTTCAACTGTTGGTGTGAGCTTCATTTGAATAAAAAAAAGTGTTGTTTGTTAAGAGAGTCAAACGTTTTTAAATAATTCTTTTCTCCACTGAAAAGATTATGGGAAAGAGCAACTTGAGAAATGTCCAAAGCACTAGTGTAATCTCTTGCGGTAATATGAAATGTATTTCCCTTATCAAAATGGTTTTCATATCTTAATATCGCCCGTACTCTTAATTGCTGCGATCGAATGTGCGATTAGATAAACACGAAGACCACGGCACCTTTTCTTAAAAGGTCATAATTCAACGTAATGATTCAAAATAAATTGTTTTTCTTGTGTCTTTCTTTATTCATAAGACGCACCCAGTGTACACCTCCTATAGTTTCAGTTTTCATTTCGCCTTTCTAACATTTTGTATAGTTAACGCTAACAAAAATTGTATAATCGTAATGCAAAATATATATGTGTATATATATTTAGGCATACATTGTTATAGCATCTAAGCACGATAAATCAAAAATATTAGTTTTCGAATACAGTAATTCTACTTTTTGGATAGAAGAATCATTAAATTATAGTTAGGGTGAAAAATTAAATTATTGCTGATCTGTTGTTTTTTCGGTATCGTTGGGGGATTTACAATAGATAGAAAGCATTGTAAATAAATATAAATTTAAACAAGCATTTAGATTAAACAATAAACAAGGTAATTTGCACAAGACGCCGTACGACAACTCAACAGTGAAAAGAAAAATGCTACACAAACCGAAAAGGAAAATCATATTGTAAGCTTGGTTCTGGTTGATGTTTTGCTTTTGGATCCAATTCCAATTCCGGGCTGCTTTCGGTAGCTTTCTCTAGTAGTCCTCAATGGCAATGATCTGCGGTGGTTTGATGGACGATGCTGTTGATCCTCCCACTGTTGGCGACCCCACATCCTTGGTCGCTGCGCTGTCGCTGGTTGTTGATGGTGGCGATGCAGCGGGGGAGGTGGCGCTCGATGGAGTGCTCGCTCCCACTGCCGTCGCCCGTGTGTCCGGCGTCTGTGCGGCTAATTGTCACTTCGCGTTGCCCGCCACGGAGCCGGGTCCGGATGCCGCCAGGTCGTTGACCCGCTGGTAGCGCGGCTTGTTGCGCGTAAACGGCAAGTACTTGTACTTGATCATATGCTTGATCTGGCGCTTCATCGTGATGCAGAACAGTGTGATGAAGTACATGACCAGGATGGGCCAGAACACCGGCACGTTGAAAAAGTCGAAGAACGTGCAAATCAGCCCGATAAGTGTGCTTTTCGCCACGACAGCCAGAATTGAACTCCGGCAGGCGGCGAATAAACGGCCGGAACTCCTCGTTGCTGCGCGTGGGCAGATTGGGTCCCTCGTCCTCGTCGTCCTGCGAGTAGGGATCGAACTCCGGGTCGATTTTGGGCGTCAGAAAGGCGATGAACAGGTTCAGGTGGTAAATGCCTAGTGCATAGCACACGATGTACCAGCCCTGGTAGATAAAGATACGTAGCACGAAGAGCAGGAGCAGGAAGCCGGCGAACACCCAGCGCATCCGTGTGTGCGGTGTGCTCCGGTCCAAGGTGGATTGGTAGGTCTGTAATGGCAGAGGATGTGGGTTAGCTGTTGTCCCGATTGGGTCTCTCCGAGATCCCTTACCTGTGAGAGGCGCTGAAAGAACTTCTTGACGCCGCCGCCGCTGGCAGCGCTGCTGTCCTCGTTCATCATGGTCGTCGCTTAGCTAGCCTCTCATTAATCTCCGGCCCCCGACTTTTATTGTTGACTTTGACGCGGTCGCCGCTGTCGTTGTCGTTCCCGCTGCTGCACACGTGTATCGATTCCGGGGTTGGGACTGTGGCCGGGAACAGGGGCAGGGGCTGCCAGAAAGGGGCTAACAAAACACAAAACAGGCCAACTGGCTAACGCGCTCCAATCGCTAATTATTCTCTAATTCATATTCTGCACCGCCCGTCGTCGTTGTCGCCCTCTTCTTCTTCCTCCCGTTGTAGGGTTCTGCTCTTGTTCTTGCGAGATTTTTGACTGTGTCGATGTGGAGATTGCTATTTTCAGAGCCTGCTTGCCAATGTTCCAGGACTCGCAGAGTTTGGACCCCGGTTCAGTGCGTTCCTGTGCGGTAACTAATTTAATTACACTAGAGATTTGTCGGCAATTTATTGTTCTTTTTCACACACAGTTCACCACGTCATTATGCTCTCTCAGTGGCAGGGCTGTCAAACTATCGGCTGGGGATGGAACAATCGGTTCTCTTCTTACTATCGTAAGGGGTAGTTGGAAGCAATAAATTGCCATTCTCGTGATAAAAAATTAGTAAATTAATTCTTATCTATATTTTAAATAATTTTAAAGGCAAAGCAAAATTTTAGTTAATGAAAATTTAATAAGCTTTCTATATTTTATGCTCTTAAATCTATAAGTTTTTATCCTCTCTAATCTATCGATTGCTTTATGGCACTTTGACAATTCAAACTTTCGGTAAATTTAAATTTAGTTTATTTTATAATTGAAAAGCATACACACATTCGTAATTTTTTACTACGTACAAAAATATTTCCTGCCAGTTTTATTGACTCCTTTAAATATGTTTTTGAACATGTTTGAAACCACCAATATAAAGAAGGCATTTAAATATTAATCTAATTATTTATGCAAGTTTTATTATGAGGAAAAGTGTGCTTTTTCAACAATTTCCGATACTTTTTCGAAAGACTATCTTATAAACTCAGTTGTAAGCATGCTACATATATTTAGTTCCGGTTTCCTTAAGAGCTGTCCTGCTCCTCCGCCGCGTCGCTCTCGTCGTCCTCCTGGTCGCCCTGCAGGGCCTTGGCACGTTCTATGCAAGAGTTGACCGTCTTGAGGAACTCGTCGGCGATGTCCTGCTTGCCGAATCGACAGGCCAGGCGTTCCAGCGCGCCCTCGGTGGCCACCTTGCCCTCTGCGTCCACCGCGTAATTATAGCCGGCCCACAGGAAGCTCTTCTTCTGCTCGTTCATGTAGTCCATCTGCAGGGAGGCGGAGATACTCATGTTCAGCACCAGCTTGTGGATCTGCTCCTGCCGCATGACCAGTCGGAATGTCTGCAGCTGCGGGTGCTCCAGCACCTTTATCTCGCCGACGCCTGTGAAATAAAGTGAATATTACTGCCTGCTTTGCCATGTAAGTCTTTACACAATCTTACCTCGCTCTTTCCACTGTTTCGACTCGGGATCATAACGATAGAGCTTCGCCCTCTCGCCATACAGCTTAGTCTCGTTCTCCTCTCCAGTGGTCACCACAATCTCGTCCGGCAGCTCCACAATGGGATCGTAGTGCGGATCGTAGTTGTCATCGTTGGTGGCGTCGCCATCGTCATCACCTCCATCTGCCGCGCCGGACTCATTTTTGCCCGTCGGCTGCGGGGACTGAAAGTTCTTGAAAGCGTTCTGGTGCGTCAAGTTGTAGAATCCGCCGCTTCCCGCCGATTTGTTGAATCCCGTGGCGTTGCCTTGGCTATTGGCCGAAAGGTTGGCAAAATCATTTCCGCTCGCCTTGTTGGCTAAATCTGCGAATGTGCCGCCCGGTTTGCTTGCCAAATCGGCGAATGTGTTGCCAGTCTTATTCGCCAAATCGGCAAACGTGCTGGCCGCCTGCTGTGCTGCTGGTGTAGTTTCCTTCTTGTCCATGGTGTCTTCTCCCGCGGTTTTATCCTTTTCCTTCTCCTTTTCCGGGGCTGCCTGTTTGCCAATATCTGTGAAAGAGACGGCGGGCTCCTTTTGTCCGAAGATGTTCGCACTACCGCTACCACTGCCAAACAAAAAGCCGCCAGATGATGAGCCTCCAAACATGTTGGAGTTACCGAACTGGGGCTTGGGTGCTTCTTGGCTGGCGGGTGACTGGGTCTCGACCTTAGGGCCGCCAAAAATAGATGGGGTGCCGCCAAAGATAGACTTCGGTGCGTCTTTACCATCTGAAGCGCCCCCGAAAGGATTAAAGCCTCCGAAAGTGGGGGCAGCTATGCCACTGCCACCAAAGATGGACTTGGGTGCATCTTGGGACTCCACTTTGGTGCCTCCGAAGATGGATTTAGGTTCCTCTTGGGACTTTGGCGAGCCATTCTTCTGTTGCTCAGCCGTTTTGGCCCCACCTCCAAAATGGTCTTGGCGGAATCCTCAGAGGAATTTTGGTTTGACAAGCCACTTCCGAAAATAGAACCCAGAACGTTGCCTTGACCTCCGCCGAAATAGATTTTTGTAGTATGGCTAAGGGATCGGCCGGTTTAGCAGACTCTGATTTATCTGAAGTGGAAATAATTAAGTCAAATGATCTTTAAGGACGAAGATAGTTCAACACTTACCCGTGCTACCGAAGACGAATGTTGAACTGGGCGCTTTGCTTTCCTCAGATACGGATAAATTACCGAAGCCGGAAAACGTAGAGTTGGTTGTACCCAGCGAACTGGCTTTGAATATTGAGGTGGCGGAGGATGAGGAAGCATTTGATTTGGTAATAGGCTGCGGGAGAGTCAGGATAGGCAGGGTCATGGGTAGGGGAGGGTTTACTTCGTAGGTGGTGGAGCTTACAGACGACGTTTTACGGAATGCGAACTTGTCTCCATCGCAGCCTATGCAGCTGCCCTGACCTACATGGTCGTGGAGCAAATTATCTGACGAACTCTTCGACTCACTTGCTCCCGTAGAAGGAGAAGATAGGGCGGGGGTGGCCTTTGAATCGGTATTATCTTCTATTGCCTTAGCGGTGCCATCTAGCGCATTTTTAACTGCATCGTAAAAGCCTTGGGCCACCTCCTTGTTCTTAAAGCGCAGAGTGAAGCGCTCCAGAACACTCTCTCCCTCGCTGAAATCGTGCACAGCAAACATCCACGATGTCTCGGTCTTTTCTCTGTACACCACATTCGAGTTCAGCACGTGGTTGAGGCAAATCTTGTACACCTGTTCCCGTCGCATTACCACGCGCAACTTCTTGGTCTGTTTGTGGCGCAGTATCTTCACATCGCCCAAGCCGCGCTCCTTCCACTCGCCTTCGGTGAGTCGGTACAGTTTGGCCTTGTGCACGTACAGCAGCTCCTCGTCTTCCTCCCCTGTTTTCACATCGATCTTAAAGAAACAGTTGTTAGTACATACGATTTTTTGATGATTGTTAACTTACCTTATCAGGCAATGGAATCACTGGCGCAAAATATGCATTGTTCTCCTCCTCCTCCTCGTGAGAGTCGTTTTCATCTCCGTCGTTAGCGGCTGGACTTTTCGGCTGCAGTTGGGCTGGCTTGGGCATGGAGAAGCTGAAGCTGCTGGATCCGATTGAGGTAGTCGGTGCCACAGGTGTCGGCATTGCTGGAGCCGCAAAGTTGAAGGTGGCGGATCCAAACACATTGCTGCTCTTGCTGGTCACCTCGGCAGCCTGATCCTTGCTACTAGTTGCAGCAGCTCCAAAACCAAAGCTAAACTGGGTGGTGACGGGGAGAGTAAGTCCCGATCCTAGTGTATTCTCCTTCTTTGGCACAGTATCATCCTTGGGTGTTTCACAGGCTGAGCAGTAAAGGGACTCTCCCGGATTGTTGACATAGCAAGCGGAGCACGACCAACTGCCGACTTTGGGTTTGAAGGCGTCCCCGAATCCGGAAGTGGTGGACGTCTTTCCAAATTCAAGAGCTGTAGCCTGAGTCGACGGAACTGAAGCAGGAGCCGAAGCCGTGCTGGTCACAGCTGCCACCACTGGTTTCTCCTTGGGCTGTGCAGCTCCGAAGCTAAACCCACCAGTGGAGGAAAGAGCAGCTGGTGCAAAGCCGAATGAGAACTTGCTAGAGGAGCCGCTAGTAGTAAGGTTTAAAGCATTGCCTTGGTCCAGCCCCGATTGCTTGGGCGGCACAGTGGCATCTTTGGGCTCCTGGCAGGCCAGGCAGTAAAGCTGGTCCTGGCCATTGCTTGTGTAACATGCCTGGCAATTCCAGCTGCCTGCCTTGGGCTTAAAGGCATCCCCAAAGCCCTTTACTGGCTTCTCTTCTTCCTTCTTTTCCGTAGCGCTAACAGAATCGGCCTCTTTTAGTTCCTTTCCAATGCTCTCTTGAGCCTTCTGCACAGCATCAAGGAAGTCCTGGCAGACATCGAGCGACTTAAATCGCACAGCTAGCAATGCGGTGGTCAACTCCTCATCGGAATAATCGTGACCCGCCCAGGTGACCGCCGCCTTAATGTTCGTTGAGGGTGAGAACTTGATCTCGGGCAACACACGCTGATTGCAGCATAGTTTATGGACCTGCTCGCGACGCATCAGCAGGCGCACCAGGTTGGGATTGGAACGATCACGCAGGAGCTTCATATTTCCAAGCCCGCGCTCCTTCCACTCATTAGCCTCCCTATCCCACCGCAGAAGCTTGGCCCGGTGCTCGAAAAGCACATCCTCGTTCTCTTCCCCGGTGACCACTTCCACAAGGTCGGGAAGGGCGATAACCGGCGTAAACTGGGCCGTGGGCACGTACTCTTCTTCGGCGTCTGAGGCAGTTGACTTGTTTAGTTGCTGTTGTTGTGGGGTCTGACTCTGCACTGTGTTGTCCTTGATCAAAGCCGTGGTAAAGAGCGTGGTGTTGCTACCACCCACTGCAGATGTGCTGCCAAAGGAGAGGTTTTTGAAGGGAGAGCCAGTGCCTGCAGTGCCGAATCCTGATGCGGTTCCATTCCCCGTGAAGCTAAAGTTGGCAAATGCCGCGGAAGCCGAGGACGCAGATGTTACAGGTGCAGCACTGACCGCTGAGATAGTTCCAAACAGAGACTTGGCCACTGTTGCTTGAGCCGCTGGAGCTGGATCAGATTGAGTAGCTTTCGTCTGCTCCTGTGGCTTACCGAAAAGAGAATTGGGAGCTGGCGTACTGGTCAAAAAGGTTTTGGGAGCAGTGAACGCAGCAGAAGCAGTTGCAGCTGCTTCCTTGTTGGTCTTGGGAAGATCTGCTGTTTTCTCCGCCGGTTTCGCTGGCTTCTCTGGCTTGGCCGGCTGGCTCGCGTTTGTAAAGGCGACCCTGAACTGCTCAGCTGTTTCCGCTGTTTTAAAGCGTACCAAGAATTTCTCCAGCGTAACCTGCTCATCCGCAAAGTCATTTGCTCCCCATAAGAACGATTTCTTATCCTTGTCCTGGTTATGAATAACCAGATTCATGTCCGCAGTGATCTTGTGATTGGCACACACCTTGTGGGTCTGATCGCGTCGCATTAGAACCCGAGATACGCCGGTGGTTTTGTCGCACAAAATCTTTATTACCCCAGTGCCGCGCTCCTTCCACTCCTTGTCTGCGAACCGGAAGAGCTTGGATCGGTCGCTAAACTTGACCTCCTCGTCCTCCTCACCGGTGCGAACCTCCACTTCATCGGGAAGTGGGATGATGGGCTGGAAGTCTGGACGAGGATCGTAATCGTCTGCTGAGGTATCTGCTGGAACACTCTTGTTGGTCTCACTAGCTCCACTTTGGTTTAGCTCGGCCTCCTGTTCCTTCTGCTTTTCGGCTGCTGCTTTAGCCACCTGGGACTTGAAGGAGAAAGGACTTTCGGAGGTCTTTGTGCCGAAGTTAAAGCTGAAGGCTGCCGTTGCTGGAACCGGTGGCTGTGCCTGTGGTTCCGGGGCCTGCACCAAACTGGGCTTGATATGCTGTGCAGGAATGGTTACACTCAAAGTGGGCTGGACACTGGCACTTGTTGGCTTTGGCAACGGATCTGAGCTGGTAATGACAACATTGGCCGGCGGTTCCTTTTCCACGGGTTGGTTGTTCAACGCCCGGTTAAACAATGCTGGAACACTAGCAGGAGCGGGAGCGGGCACAGAAGGAGCCACTTGGGGTACGTGAATAGGAGCGGGAACAGCAGCTGGTACTGGTACAGGATTCACAGATGGAGGAAGCGGTCCTGGGGCAGGGGCAGCCCCAGGAATTGGCGGAACCTGAATAGGCGAAGCGCCAAAGCCCGGCGTTGGCGTGTTGAAGAAACCCGGAGTGGGCAGTGCAGCCGGTGGCTTCGACTCAAGCAGATTAAGAGGAGCCGTAGCTGGAGCTGGCTGGGCGGGTGGCGGTATCAGACTGGGAGGAGGCTGGGTAAAGTTGCCCATGGCGTCGATGTAAGGTGCTACCGATGCCCCGGTCGGCGGTGGAAACATACCGGGCAGTCCAAAGTTTTGATTCCTAGGACCTACGTTAAATAAATCGTCAGTTATATCTAAAAGGAATTGAACACTTGGACGCTTACCAAATATATTGGGGGGCGCAATCGCCCCTGGAGCTGGTAGAGTCCGTAAGAACTGGGATTGCGCTTGAGCTTGGGCCTGAGCAGCGTAATAGTTGTACATCTGGTTTTGGTTAAACATGGGACTCCCGTAGGGTGCCGGCAGAAAACGATCCTGTCCGGCCGGCGTGTTTGGAACACCGTTGTGGAAACTAGGAGTGGGCCCACCATACGGGTTAGGAACCACCTGATGCACTGCAGCTTGGTTTTGCTGTTGTTGTTGCTGCTGATGATGTTCCGCAAGCGCATCTTCAATGATAAACAAGTCGTCCAATCCCAATGCAGCTGCTGGATCCACATCCCGTGTCGGCGTGTCTCGACTGCTGATCTTGATCTTCTTGAGCAGCTCCTCGAGTCCAGTGAACTTCTCTGTAAGGGTCTTGATTTCCTGGCGCATGGCTTCCATTCCCAAACTCACATCGTCCTTGAGCACACACAGAGACTTGCTGATTTGCTTGACAGTCTGTTCCATCTCCTGATTTGGTGGTGCTGCCAAAACAATGGGTGTCACTGAAGCGGGTTCCACCTGACGACGTGATCGATTGGCAGACAAGGCTGCACCCAAATAGAAGTCGTCTTCAGCATCCTCATAAGTGGATGAATTGTTGTGCGCATCCGGGCTACCGAAGCTATCTTCGAGACCGTGGCTACTGCGATTTTGTTGGTAACGTCGAAGCTCGCGTTGAATATGGTTGTGTAGTGGGTGCTTGACATCAGTTTGGAGCAGCTGCTGCGTCTGCTGCAGGCACTCCTTCCTCCGCTCCGAGAAACGAGCGCGGGAAACTCGGGGTGTCTTTGCGGACTCCTCAAGTTGACGGTACGCCTCCGATTGCATGAAGTATGCCATGGGCAGATCAAGTCCTCTGACCTCTTCCACAAACTGCTCATACTGATACGCCTTAAACATCTTCGAGCTGAAATAGGAGACGGCGTGCTCAGCCAGTGCTTGAAGATCCTTCCAGGCGGCCGTTGAGGTGGCAGATCCGTACTTAAAAATCCGGACAAAGGCGTCCGACTGCTGCGTGTGCTGGCGACGCAGCATTGTAAATCCTTGCCTGTAGAGAGTATCGATGCGTGCCTCCAAAGCAAGTTCTGAGCGCTCCTGCAGGATTTTTCCCAGCTGGAAAATGATGATTGCATCTGCTTTGGGTCCATTCACCCCCCGCACCGCCTCCAATCCGACCTGCAGTTGAGCTCTTTGCTCGGTGCGATTACCTTCAGTGGCCAGCTGGTTTGAGTGCAGCCGCAGCACCAAATCCCACCAGTTCGTTTGCTCCGAAGATGCTAGTTGGCTCAGAAGATTGGCAAATGGCATCATATGCGGCCGGTTAGCGGCATTGCGGTTACCCAAGTTGGAGGTGTTGTACGCTTCCCTCTGGAGCTGAAATCGCCGCTGGGTCTGAATAACTGTTGCGTAGAGGTAGAGGTCGACATCGACCTGGCTGATGGAATCGTGGCCGCAGTAGTTAAGGTTCTGCTTCACATCCCGCCGAAAACCTTCATAGAAAGCCACGCGTGGCGCAGTTCCAAGACGGTCGGGCTCGGTGCCCAGCGCCAAGTAGACGTGTTGGGCCAAGGAGTGCGGCGGTAACGATAACGCTAGCAGCTCGCAGGTCTCGATCTCCGCCAGACTGGGCCACTCGAAAAGAGGCTGCTGCAGACGCGGGTTACGCACCAGATGCGAGGACTGATCTTTCAGCTTGTGTTCGGCGTGGGTAAAGAGCTGTTGGTAAAGCTGACGTCGCCAGTTCTTGTCGAGGCACTGCTGGTGAGCGCTAGACAGTAGTTCTTCGGAGTCGGCAAATAATCCGGGCAAAGTTTGGGCGGGAACTTTGTTCTCATTGAGGTTGCTGTTCTCCTTCTGGTTGTCATCCGTTCGCGATCGGTCCAGGCAACCGAAAAGGGTGCGTCCAAGCTGGGCGCAGCGGAAGGCGCCCTGCTGGCGCCACAGTTGCATCAGCTGCTTCTGCTCTGCATCGCAGTGTTTCATCCAGTGGTGGACATGGGACTCTTCGAGCGGTCGCACCTGGTAGCCAAGGAGCAAAACCGGCAGTACGGATTTCAGCGCGTTCATCCACTTATTCTTGTTACCCAGCAGCTCACGTTTGAAGATCAGCGCCACCGCGTGGAGTAGCAGCTGCCCGGTATAGTGATCGGCACAGGATTGGTGGAGTTCCCTCTGCGGGGCATCGCCCGCACGCTCTATCGCGTTGCTAAACTTGTGCAGGTATTGATCGAGGCGAAATAGCTGACTGCTGCTGTCCGCCAGTCCGCTTCCCGTCTCCAGGCTCAGTTGCATGAGGCGATCGAGGGCGTGGAGCGCCAACTGCCAGAAGCGCCAGTTCTTCTTCACGTCATTGGCCGACTCCATCTTCCCGAGGAGCACCCAGATCATGTCATACCAATCGCTCGACTGACTCGTGATGCCCTTTGACTCCAGCTCGGTTTTTAAAGCGTAGCTGAAGGCCTGATCCAGCTTCTTCTTCTCCACATAGCTTCGCAGCAGACGCACGCGAAGATTAACATCCTGGGGCCGCGCCTGCAGCTCCTTGTGCATCAGCAGTTCCATGGCGTTGTCTCCATCAACGCTGCCATCTCCTCCGCCGTTGCTTTCCTGAAGATTCAGCCGCATCCGCACGGCGAAGACGTGTTGATTGTCGACCAAATCCAGGTCAGTGGCCAGATCCAGCCAGTACTTGGCGCGCTCCGTGTTGAAGGCGGTGTTCTCGTTCAACAGCAGTTCGCAGGCGTCCAGAACCACCTCTGACTGCCGGGGATTGAGCTGCATGCTGCGCTGCCAGTGCTGCAGCGCCTTCTGCACATCAGGAGTCTTCAGCCTACTGTAGCAAGTGGCTAGCAGGTTGTGAGCCACCGCTTCATCTTTGGCCCTGAGATAGCTGGTCAGATACTCGATGCACCTGGGGTACTCCTGGATCTTATAGTACATTTTGCCTATCGCCAGCCCCTTGATGTCGCGCTAAAAATAGAGAAACCTTTATTTAGTCCAGGAAGTCTATAAAAATTACGTTTTATATTTTGTATTTGTATTGTATTTTTCCTTTTTTGTATGCATATTTAATTTGTTTCCTTAAGTTGTTTTAAATTTTTATGTATTGTAATGATCCTGCTAGAACTCAGATGCTTTTAAGCGGGAAGAATACAAATATATTTAAGGTCGGTTGGATAATATTATTGTTATGTTTTTGGACTTATAAAAATCTGATATGCTTATGTATTATATATATATATGCAAAACAACCTAGCTATTTTAAAGTTCCGTTATTGAAACGAATATCCACTGTACCTACAATGTAACAGTTAAATTTTAAAGGAATATAAATATGCTTTTCCAATTTGCTATGAATATCCCTATTGCAATTTGTAGCCATAACCCATATCGAGTGTTTACTGTAGATGTAAATTAAAATAAGCGGCTGCTGGCCACCCACATAACCTCACATTTATATTTTGATTTATAAATAGAGAATCACAGCGCCATGAGACTGAAAGAAAATCAATTTCTTTTGCAAATATACGAAATGCAGGCGTCGCAAGAAAAGCGCGCACTTTTCTTTTCTATTGCAAATCCGCCAGCCAAGTGACGCCGACTCACAGACATACGCACACAAACACACACACCGAGGCACGCACACAAAGGCGCGCTCTCAATGGCGGCGCCGAAGATTTCGCAACTATTTTTTTCTTTTGAAATTCCTATACACGTTGTAGGCGTTTATTTACCTCACTTCCCGGCGGAAGTTTTCCCAGCATTTTATGGACATGCTCGTCAATATCTTTCCGCGTATCGAACATTTCTCTGGTGCTTTTAACGCTTTCAAATCGCTGTCGTCTCGACCTCGCAAAAATGTGCTTCGCGCTCGATTCTTCTTCACTCCGACATCCGATCGACACCGATTTCTCGAACGGTAATGTGCCACGGCCGGAAAGTCGGGTAACTACGGCTTGGCAATTCCAGTGGCAACACGCTGCACTCGTTTGCGGTGCAGATCAGAACGTATATATAGCTAAATTCCGCTTTAAATTTTGACTGGAGTGCACGGCCAACAAAAAATATGCAACAAAATATGTAGTGTGACTGCGCGAAAGTTGGAAACTTCTACCGTGGCGGTTTATAAAAAATACCAACTATATACCACAAATTAAATAGGATATTCATTTGATCAACCATGGGGAATATCCTAATCAAAAAATTATCTTTTTATTTATTTATAATATCTTTATTAATTTAAAAGAGAGAAATACAATTTGATTGGGGCAAGCTCCTCATTAATAAAAAAAATATATGAATATTGACTATTAGGGCTTTTTTAAAAAATTTTGTTAAACAAGTTGGTTTGTTTTTAAATATGTTAGATGATATAACAATTATGACACAAGGAATTAAGACCTTGCAAGATGTGCTTTTATAAAAGAATATACAACATTTCAAAATGAAATTTAAAAATTTTTAAATCCATAAATAAAATTATTAAAAAACAACCAACTCTATATAAAACTTAAGTTACGAATAAAAAAAATTAAAAAGACCTCGTTATAAACCAAAAGATAAATGTTTAATTATTTTATTTCAATGTAACTTTCAATGTAACTTTATTTTAGTGTTCGGCATGCTTTACTTCATTTGCACTTTCCAGAAGAGCAGTTTCCTATCAGAGACCGCCGTGATATAAGGCAATCGCTGATGCCAGGCCATGCCTCCAAAGGTTTTTAGGGGTGCCTCCAGCAATGGAACCGTGGACTTGGCTGCGAAAACCTTTAAGGTTAGCCCGATAATCAGGGCTATGACCATTTCGGAGCTTCCTGGTGCAAATCGAACTACTCGGCCGCAATCCTCGTGGACCTGCTTGACATCGGCGGGCACAAAGGGTCTGTTCAGGTCCCAGGTGATCACATCCCCGCCAGCTAGGGAGGTGATGAAAAGTCTATTGCTGTTGGCCCAATCCGCCGACATGAGCGGGAATTTGGGGGACTCCACGGAGATGACCGTTTGCTTGCTCCTCACATTGTACAGATGAATGATGCCTACAAGGAGATACGTTAGTTATAAGACTAGGTAAATGGTGAGCCTTTCACACCTTTTTTCTCCGCCACCAGCACCTTGTTGGGATCCTCGGGATGGCTCTTGATGGACATTCCTGCTGAGGACAGGCCGAATGTGATGACGTTCTCCCCGCTGCCTGCCGTCGTCCAGAAGCGGCAGGTGAAGTCATCGCTGACCGAGGCCAGCAGCTCACCCTCGCAGACCCAGGACACATCGTTGACATAGTCTCCGTGGCCATGGAGCACCTGTAGCGTGTTGAACTGACCCAGATCGGTGCGGAGTATCTTCAGCTGGCTGCCCTGGGCGGCGCACAAAGTCACATTGTTGGGAGTGCAGTTCAGCGAGGTGTCCGGCGAGAAGGCCAGTGCGCTGACGCACCGCTGATCCTTGTCGCTCACGTCCAGGTCCTGGAGGTGTGTGTACCCAAAGTCGCCGCTCTCCTCCTGCAGATTAAACAGAAACCCATTAATTTCATTCAATTTTTATTTTTTTTTTCCAGGCCCACCGGCAGTCCTACGAGTATCAAACTCAGTTCTTTTTTGAGCGCCACTGCGATTAGGTTGTAGGCAAAGTCATTGGTGCAAATCTCGAAGCAATAGATTGTCTCGTTTAGTTGGATGCAGTGTTCAGGGTCTGTGACAGCTCGCATTTTCCCCTTTTTGTTTGTTATTCCTGGATAAATGAAACAACTTGCCGGCGGCGCCAAAAATGTTTCCTTCAGTATGACCGTAAATGGTTCGAAGAATTATCTAATAAAATTATTTGCTATCGAAAAAATAACAAAGAATATATAAGTAAATTATATTTTAAGATAACAAGTTTTTAATGAAGTGTGAACCGTTTTACGAAGCAGAAAGAAACAATTAAGATTACTTATTAATATCAAATAATTAAAACTTAATATTGTTTAAATTACGTGTTGGAAAGTGTCGGCGGTAGAGTTCCCACCGTCCAGCTGTTGGGTATTTTTTAGTGCCTTTTCAGCCAAGTTAAGTTGGCTGCGATTTACCCCACTTCCTTTTCCGTGTTAGCTGTGAAAGAAAAAACATGCCGGTGGGTGCCAAATTGCGTTAAAATTGATTTTAAACACAGAAAACTCGTCCGAATGTTAACCAAAAGCTGGCTGGAATTATCGCCAAAGTGTCAAGTGTGAATGGAGCAAGTGTTGGCCGGCAGAAACGGCCTAAAATGACCCTAAAACAAATGTCTGGCGCGCTTCCATGAGTGTGTGTGGTTTATTGGCCACGCATGGCGTGCGCCTGTGAAATTGCAAACAGTTGTGAAATGGTTTAATGAAAGAAATGTAATTCCGATGACTTATACAAAGGGCCGATTGTAATGCCAGACGGAATTCTCGGAAGTCCTTGCACATAACCTAGAACACGCATTGGCGAATTTATGTTGTTGTTGCCTGAATTTTTTGATACACCAAGTAAAAATGTGACAATTGGATTTTTTGAACCCTTAAAATGGCTCCAAATGCTTTAACAAAGTTTTACCTCATGTTGTATTTAATTTTTATGACAATTTTCTTATCAATATGATGGGCTCATCATGATCTTTAAGATCAAACTGCTTTTGATCTTTAAAAGATTATTTGTATACTAAAACGTTTCATAAATTTTAGCAACCCTTAAATTAGTGGAATCTTACTTCTCATAAAATCAAGAAAATGAAGTTTACCAAGTGATCTTGACATTTTTGATACTCATACCGCCAAAAAGCCTCCGATACACTGCTGCACATATATTGGATTACAACCGGATTAGTTTCTGATTTAAAAATTTATAAAACAATACATACCTGCATACTAATTCCCTGGTCTATCCCTCATTTCCAGCTAGCAAAAGATCTTCTGCACCCGCTGCCCGCCGAGGAGAAGCGCAAGCACAAGCTGAAGCGCCTGGTCCAGCACCCCAACTCGTACTTCATGGACGTGAAGTGCCCCGGCTGCTACAGGATCACCACCGTCTTCAGCCACGCCCAGGGCGTCGTGGTCTGCGCCGGATGCGCAACCATTCTGTGCCAGCCAACTGGAGGACGCGCCAAGCTGACAGAAGGTATGGTCCATCTGTTTTCTAACCATTATTCCTGGTTAACCGTCTAATAACCAATTATTTCTTGCAGGCTGCTCTTTCCGCAGGAAGCCACAGTAAAATGGGACTCGCGATGAACCACAAATTATTAATTTTTTAATAAAATCTATAAAACGTAAAGAAACCACAGAACCCATCCGAAAGAAAGCTTGTAATTCAATTGCTGCGGTCCTTTGGTTCAATGTGCTTTGTGAATTAAAGAATTAACGATCTTGTGGTTGGCTAAGTGAAAACAAACAGCTCTTGTCGTATTTGTTTATAAGTGGATAATTACCAGCAGAATAGATAGTGGAACTCGATTGATTTGGTTTCCTTATAGCAGCCCCCAAAATGTAAACCATATGTTGGAAACTGATGTTCGGAAAATACATTTTTCGGTTTTGTAATTAACCCTTTTGTCCCGCAAATCTTCAGGAACTTTTCACTAGTTATGCTTAGATCTAACGAATAATTGACTTCACTGTAATAAAGAATGTTTCATAGGCTTTAAAATTGAGATATTTGCTACCATAAAAGTTAGGTTAGGTAGGAGTGGTTGGAGACTAAATATTAGTCCCCTCACTTAGGCCACAATGGGCCCCTTGTGATACCACATGATCTCTGAAAGATCCGTTTCCCTAGCTCATGGGTTTACTGCCTTCGCGAAGTATTCTGTTCTTCTTAAGAAACATAGTAGTTTTTGAATGCTTACGTCCTGGATGGCCGCAAGGTTCGGAAGTGTGTAGCTACCTAGGGTTTGAAAGCGCTTTAGGTTATGCGCTGGGCAGAAGCATAGGAGGTGTTCGATGCTCTCCTCTTCGTCTATCTCTTTGCAGCTGCGGCAGAAGTCGTGGTTACTTAGACCCAGCCTTGTCGCATGAGTCCCTATGAGACAGTGGCCCGTGAGGGCATTTAGGAGAGTGGAGATGTCCTCCCTACTACATTGTAGGAGAGTTTTTGTTCTTTTCGTGTTATAGTTTGGCCATGTGAGTCTAGAATTGTGGCATATTGAGATTGAGTTCCAACGGTTGTTGGAAAGAGTATACAATCTCTGCCTGAGAAGGAGCTTGCAGGTAGCCATGGGCATCCCTACCGTGTCCTTATCACGAAGGATATCGGCGGTTGTCCCCTGTCTTGCCAGCTCGTCTGCTATGCAGTTGCCCTCAATGTTGCGGTGCCCAGGCACCCAGATGAGGCTGATTCTCAGATGAGTGGCCATCTCGTTAAGAGATTTGCGGCATTCAGAGATTGTTTTTGAGCTCGTTGTGTAGGAGTCGAGGGCCCTGAGGGCAGCTTGACTATCCGAGAATATGAAGATATCACTGTCTTTATGTACAGACGTGTTCAGGTGGGTAGTGGCTTCCTGAATTGCCATCACTTCCGCTTGGAAAACACTACAGTGGTCTGGTAGGCGGAATGAGACTTTTATGTCTAGTTCGGGGGAGAAGACTCCCCCACCTGTTTGGGAGTTAAACTTGGAGCCGTCAGTGTATATGTTGACGGCGTTTACGAATTGATGTGGGAGGTTGTCCCAGTCTGAACGGGTGGGTATATGAATTTTGTATCTTCTTTCGAAGTTGACTATGGGTGGGACGTAGTCTGTATAACGTGGTAGGGGTGAATGTTTTGATAGGATAATGGAGTGACCCGTGGAGCCCGTTGTCCAAGCCGCTGCTTCACGGAGTCTCAGCGCTGTTGCAGATGCCCAGCTTTTGGCAAGTAGGTCCAGGGGTTGGAGATCGAGAATTGTGTTTAGTGCCTCGGTGGCGGTAGTGCGCAGCGCCCCACTGATGCAGAGCTCTGCGCTCCTTTGGATCTTGTGAAGGATCCGGAGGTTGCAGTTCTTATCTAGAGAAGGCCACCAAACGATGTTTCCGTAGAGGAGAATGGGCCTGACTATTGCAGTATATAGCCAGTGAACTATCATGGGGGAGAAACCCCACTTCCTCCCTATGGCTTTTTTACAAGCGAAGAGGGCTATGGCCGCTTTGCGTGTGCGAAACCTAACCTAACCTACCATAAAAGTTACTAAGACTGGGAATTTAATTACCTTCGAAGAAATTAATACATTTGTTAAGGGATCAGTGAATATGCAAATTCAAGTTACCTATTCTGAACATCAGGGTTTATGGCCAAATTTCTTGTTGAGAATATTATTTAAACATTCCTTTGAACCTCGGGAAACAAATATATATGAAGAGAACTTATTTAGATTTTTTGATAATTTCCCTACGGGTAATTTATAATTCAAAATGTTTATATTTTATTCAGTTACTTTCCAACACTTTTCCTTATCCAGTTTTCCAACCACCAAATGTAAAATATACATGGGTTCGATTCCATACTACGTTTATCTACATGGCTTACTTGAATTTAATTCGGACGTTTTTCAACACATTTTCTAAGCCAGTTTTCGAACCACAAAATGTATAATTACATGGGTTTGAGTCCATGCTATGTATCTACATGGTGGCGTTGCCAGACATTCCGATAGCGGAGTTTGCCACCTCGCTAGGAAAATTCCGCGGTCGCTGCTCTGCCGCTGTTAGATTTCGATACATCTTAACCGATCTCGATAAGTCTTAACAGTGCTGTTAGAAAATCGCGGAATCTAACATTTTAGAGCGCCCATGGTGGTCGGATAGGAAAACAGTGAACAGTCCAGACAGCGTGGCGTCGCGCTTTTCAAACGGTAGATTTTCAGTGCCAGAAAAAAAAAAGAACGCAGACTTGAGGTTTTTCGTGATTTAATTTCGCTTGCTTAAATGTTTAATGCACGTGCTTTGGGTATTGGCCCTTCGGCCAACGATGACCAGCAATTGGTTCGCAATTTGATGGAGGTGCAGCAGGAATTGTCCTCCCTGCTGGAATCCAATGAAAATCTCACCGAGTCGCGTGCTGCTGCTTCTTTGGAGTACCAGGACTCCGTCAATAACGCCAGCAGCTCGTCGTCGGGCGTTCTGTCGGAAATCCAACAGAACTTCCGGGTGCTCCGACTGGACAACAGTGCGCCACGCTTCGAATTCCACGGTTGGGGATGCTTGCAACAGCTCCAGAAGCGTTCCCGCCATTTTGGATACGGCGGTGTTCCGGCCAAGAAGTCCCGATCCGGTGGCGCCTCCTGTTTGCTGGTCACCGGCCCCAAGCAGGAGCAGCTGCAGAAGGAGAATGTGTGGAACCAGCAGCGCCACGAGGAGGTGAAAAATTCAGCACAGCCCATGTCCATTGCGAGCCTGCGTTCGATTGGTCTGCACGGCGATTGGTGAGTGTCTGGATACTTGTACTCTGGAAATCCACAATATAATACCCTCTGTTTTGGTAACCCACAGCCTGGAGCATAATGCCGTGCTCCGCGTGATGGATCTGTTCAGGTCCCTGCATGATCACCTGACCGCCGACTTGGGCTTTTCGCGCCAAAACTCGATGCCCTCTGATTACCTGTTCGATGTGCCCGTCAAGAACTTCATGCCCAAGAGCCTCAATGTGCGCTACCAACTGCAGGTGCTGTGCACCAAAACGGAGCGGTTCCTGATCAAACAGCGTCGCATCCTGGAGACAAATCGCAGTTTCGACTACGAGAAGTACAGCGAATGCGACAAGTTGATCAAGGGATCGACCTCCTATTTGCAGTCATTCAACCAGTTCATGAACGTCGAAATGCGCCATCGCAACGGAAACTTTATCACCCAATCGGCCAAGTGTAACTTTATATCCCTAGTCCTTTTTGTTATATTCTTTAATATATGTTATCCCTGCAGTCAATGTGCAGCGCTTGGAGAGCTTGCTGATTGGTCTGCGCGAGTGGCTGAAAGCCACGCATCTCAGTGTGCACGTGTTCAACTGGGAAATGGATCTGGAGCACCGCTACTCGGCGGCTATGACCGAGAGCCACAAGTCTTTGCAGGAGCGAGCCATCCTTTTGGCCAATGCCGAGCTGCAGGCGGCCAAGCCACGGGGCATCACTGTTGAGGAGCTGTACATTGCCAAGAGGTATAAGCTGGAGAGGGTGATGACCTGTGCCATAGAGCAGGACGAGTTCCTCACTGCTCTGCTCGCCCATCCGGAGACCTACTTCCCGCCCCAAGTTGTGGCCATGTGCGGACCACCCAAGGTCGTTGTTGACATGGAAGATGATTCTGAGGAGGTGGAGGAATATGAAGACGACGCGCCATCATCCCCACCACGTAGCAACGATCGTACATTTTTCCGCTTTAGAAGCTAAACTGGATCTGTAATCTAAGAAATTACCAATTTCAGTGGTATCTATACTTATTTTATACCTTACCTTATCAATTACTTTATAATTCAAAGATATCTCTTTTAAAAGCTAAAACTTTAATATTTATTTAGCCAAGTCGAAAAAGATTTGTCATTTAAATTGAATGCCATTGTAGGTTTAAGAATTTATTTTACACTTTTAATGAGTATTTGTATGATTAGTCTAAGCAAAATCCAAACGAAAATGATTTGTTATTTATCTTTTAAATTTGGCTACAAATATGTACCGACTTATACATAACTAATGAGCTTTTGTGCAGATCAAAAAAGCCAAAATTAGAACAAAAACCATTACCTAATAATATTTTTACAGTTATTTGACCAAGTCAAAAATGAGGCTTTCTTTCTTTTATATAACACTTTATTTTAGTTTTAATCTAGTGAGAAGAAAATAACCGAGTGCCTGAATTTATTTTGCATCTTCATTTAATTTGTAAGAGGAACCTACCAGTGAATTGTTTGCTTTGCATTTGTATTTTGAAAGCCAAATAAATATTCACATATCTGCTTTAGCTAGTTAACGTTTAAAAGCTTTGTACTAAGGGGTTCAGACAACAAAGAGTTGTTCGAGCGACAGTTTGCCGAAGATCCTGTCCACCACCGACTTGGCTATCAGTCCGAAGGCCTCACCGATGCCCGGTTTCAGTTCGTTGAAGATGTCCCGCCAGTTCTCGTTGATGAGGGCGTGCATGTTCTCGCTGAGATCCTTCTGGCCATTGAAAAGATTCTCCAGGTGATAGGAGACATGTTGAGGTGTCACCTCAACCTTGATGTCGACCACCTCCGCGAAGGTCTGGTGCTCACCCTTGGACACCCGCTTGAATTTTATAAAAGCATGCACCTTCGTTTTTTCTGCGGGTTTAAGAAATGCACATTAAATGGGAAATTGTTCTGCGATTGTAAGCCAAAACTTACTCAGTCGGATCTCTGCGTTGCCTTTTCCTGCAATGGGTAGAATGAGTATTCTGCCGTCGACTGAGTATGGCCCTCTGACCACAACTTCGGGCACTTCCATGATCAGCTCAATGGGTCGGCTGAGATCACTCGTGAAGCCGCTGAAAAAGAAAAATAATATATGTTGCAGAATTAAAGACTCGTAATATTTTTTCTTTCTAGATCTCTTCAAGAGGTAATTAAAAAAGAATATCTTACCTGGCTCGCTTTGCAACTGCCTGGTGGAGACCCAGAAGATCCGCGTCGTGGAAACTGAGATCAATGTTGACCGGGCTGTGCGGATTACGTCCAATTGTGAACTTCTTGATGCGCAGGGGATCCAGCGGGATCAGACCCAGCTCCTTGATGCCGCTCTTGGCGTGGTTCCTCAGCACATTGTTGACTCCGTTTATCAGGCACGCCTCGTCCTCAATCCCGCACCTCTCAATACCCGAGGCTTAAAGTCAAGAGTTTTGAATGGAGATGTGTGTGTTACAAAAAGAAGGCGCAACTCACGTAATTCGGGGGCGTGTCCATTAACCGATATGGACGCACATCCGAGCAGCAGGACGAGGGCGAGAGTTAGCTCCATAATTGACGCGGGCAAACACAATTGAATACTGATCCATTAGCAGCGGTTGATACCACTTATATAGTCACTTTCGCCAATTGAAATGTATCATGTTTTTTGTTGCCGTAAACAGCTTTTGCGTCTCAGCCTGCCAGAATTTGACTTTAGACCGTCTCCAGTACCAGTGCACTCATCACCACGCTCCCCCCGAGTCTGTTAAATGGATTTGGATTGTAAACCAAACCGGCAGGCTGGCTGTCCGGTGGCAAAGTGGGTTGTTATAGCCGGCAAATTTATTTTACGACTCCCTTTAATGAACCCCCATTTGAACTTGAACCTGTTGGGCTGCAGTACTGCTCGCAAGCCATTGACCCGTCATTCCCATCTCTCCTAATCACGTTTCGCATGTAATTTGCCCGATATATGCAAATTAGATTGGCCTTCCCCTAATCGGGCATCAATTCCTGTTCGAACTCCTTTGACACTTTCGTATTTTGCCTAATTAATGGTTGAGCAGTCACCCGTTTTTTAACGAGATGCTCTACTTGGAGAGTCAAGAACATTTAATGTAACGACCTTTTATAGGCCAAGGTTTTTTGAACCTTTAGAGAGAGCAAGTACAGATAACACATACTTTCAGGCGGTCATTGATTTTCAAGAAAAAAACTGTTTTATATAGTTTAAACCACAGCCAAAATTCTATTGCTAGAATTTTTAAATTATTAATAAATCCAAATAATCTTGTGTTACAAAGTGTTAGCCATATAAACTTTATTGCAACAAAATTTCGTTTTATTTCGCTCAGATTGTTAAATGGTAATTAAGCATTTCCCTACTTATTCTAACGTTATAAATGAACTCGCGACCCTCGTTAAATCGAATGATAATTGCTAACGCTAAAACCTATATGAGCTAGAGTTTGCGATAAGTATCAACACGTGTTCTTTTATCTAATTTAAAAGCGAATATCACATTGGCTACTCCTCGGCAAAAAGCTTCGAGTACGGGAGCTTGGAGAACACACCTTTTACGATTCCCATGTATAGCTGACTGAAGGACTTATCAATTGCTGAGGCCGTCTCCTTATAAATGGCCTCCGAATTCTCGTTCAGGAAGACATTCATATTATCGCCCAGCGCCTTGTCCCCATTGAACAGATTCGAAAAGTGGTAGTGGGTGGACTCCGGCTTCATTGTTATTTTGAAGTTGGTAACGTCCAAATAGATCTTTCCGTTATTCTCCAACGGTTTGCCCGAGAAGGTCACGATTGACTTCACGTTAACTGAAAAAGGATTTTTAGTCACCTGGTTTATTTTGGGTACCCAGTCGACTTATCTCACCCATAGTCATGTTACTTTTTCCCGTACCGCTGATCGGCAGAATGAGTACCTTCCCGTTGATATTATAGGGTCCCACCAGTGAGAAGGTTTTCGCGATAATCCTCACTTCGTGCTTTCCGGTAAGATCCTTTCCGAATCCCCTGAAAATATAAACAGTATATAATCTCGTTAATTGAAATTATGGTATTTTTAATTGTCATAATCTTTAAAAATGGCGTACATTTTAAGATTCAACAACCTTCCTAATTCTCCTGGAAAAAACCATAAAATTCTTTTAGGTGACTAGCCACTTACTTTACTTTAACTATCCTTTGATCCTTGATGCCGTACAGCAAGTTATCGGTAAAAGTAAGAGTTATGCCCACGGGACTGGCATCCTCTCCCTGGCTTATCACAAGCTTGTCCACATTCAGAGGATCTAAGCGCGTCAGGTTTAGACCAGGATCCTCCTCCGAAGACCTCTCACTGAATAGTGTGTTGCACAGTTTCATGATACACTCGCCATCGCCGTATTTGCAGGGTTTAGGATCGTCAGCTGCGAGGATAGCAGGAGATAATTTAAAGGATAGTCCGAGTATCATATCATATCATATAACATCTTACGGAATTTGGCTTGCACCGACACGGATAATGAGAAAACAATTGCCAACGCGATCCCGAACATCTTTACGCTTCTATAACTTAGTGTAACTGAATATGAAAAGGAATTTGGTCTAGTATTTATAGTGGCACACTAAGTGCAACTCAAGTAGAGTGCCAAAGCAACCTTTGATTTCGCTTTTATCTGTGGCGTAACTGTCTGCTGTCAATTTGAGAACTCGTTCAAATTCCTCTCATATGGAAAACTGTATCATCTCATTCTATTATGCAATAGAGGATTAATTATTTTTTGTATATGCATCTGTATACAAAATACTTCAGTACTTAAACTTCTCCCTAACACGTATTTTCAGACAAAGCAATTTCGCAAAAGTATATTCAATATAATGGGATCAGTGGTCTGTATTAAAAATGCTATGATTAAAACAAATCATGCATTGATTCATATTTCGTATAATCTTCATTACATACAAAGTTACATGCAAAACTGACTCAGCTAATTGTAACACACAGCTTACAACAATCAAGAAATGCTTTAATTGGAATGAGAAACAAATATGGAATTAAGTACTCGTACTCCCATAACAACATCGGCAACAAAGTGTGCAACATACAAAAGGGCCAGTTCCAAATAAATCCGAATTAAGTTGCGAGAACAACAGAGTCATCGTGATCGCCACATCCCAAGAATCGGAGTAGAGTTGGAGCGCCAGAACAGGTCCTAAACTTCAGTTAACTTAATTGCCCAACGCCCCGTTTTAAGGCCCAGCCTCCGTGGAGAACAAAAGCGACTTGTTTCACTCGGATTCGCTGCAGTTGATTGACTCGTGGAAGATTTTCACTGACTCAAGGCCAACTGGGTGTCCGATTCCCTCAGATGGGATTGCAGGTTTACCGTTGGCTACTCTTGAACTTGGCAAGAAAAACTGAAAAAAAAGTAATTGGGTATTATATGTTTATAATTATGATCAGGGTAATATTAAAAAAAACTTAATATGTGTCTTTCTAAACTATTGAAAAGGTTTATTTTCTTAAATTTCAAAGTCAGTGAATCCGGAATATTAGATTAGGCAATAAATTCAGCAATGTTTCCTTGTTTCACGTTTGCCATTTAAACAAAACTATAAAATTATCTTTGACGTGAAGTCAAATAGATCTGATAAAATTAAATTAAATTAAATTTAAAATCAATAAATTTTCGTTTAAGTCTAATGTCTGTATCAAAGAGAAAATCTTATTAAACATAGTATCATACTTTTATATTATATTACCCAAGTTTAGTACAAGATTAAATTCAGAGTACTTAGTATCTTAGTTCCTACACTGCTGCCCCCAGCTGTGGTGAGTCTAGTGATAATTTTTTGCCATGCAAATTCCCAATCAAACGCTCGATCACGTGAGTTGCCTGCTGATTGCCGATTGCTTGCCAAAAAAGTGTATGCGACAGTTGTGCGGAAATGCCGAGATCTACGCTTGATTTAACAATAGCCCCCCGCAGAAGCACAACCAGTTTTCGCATTATGTTTGTTTTATTTCTACAATTTAAAGCTTAGCTTAGCAGATACGATGATATGTCAATGGCCGGAATGCAACGCCCCATGTGTGTGAAATGCTGGTGAGGAAATACTCGTACACTTAGCCTAATGTCGGACGACCTAGGGCTCAGTTCTCCAGGAACAGATCCTCGTAGGCAAACCGCTTGAATAGCTGCGTCAGGACGCTCTTCATGATCTCGGCGATGGCTACGTGGATAGAGGGATGCAGCTCGTTCCATACCTCCGTCCAGTTATCGTTGAGGAACTGGTTCAGGTTGGCTCCCAAGGCCTGGTCGCCGTTGAAGAGGTTGTCCAGTCGGATATTCATCCTGGTAGGAAACAAAGAACATTTATAGCTGAACTTGAATGGATAGTAATCCCAATTTCACTTACTTTTGTGGCTCAACGAGCACCTTGAGCTTGTCCACGCTTAGGAAATTGCGTCCATTGCGCAACTGGGTGCCCGGCTTGAATTTCACCGAGAACTTGGGATTGTGCAGGATGATCTCGGCATCGCCATCGCCGCGAATGGGCAGGATCAGGATGCGTCCATCCGCCACGTACTTGCCCTTCAAAACGATCTTGGGAAAGGATCCGTACATCTCAAACTTGCTGGTGGCAGGATCTGCGCCAAAGCCACTAGAAGAATTTCAAGGAGGATGGTTAAAGTAAGTAAAAAAATATATAAATAAAGAATATATTTCTTAAAGTAAGAATAATAAACTTAATAAGATCCCTATCGATAATAATGAAGCTTGGTTTTTAGTTCAAAAATCCGTTAAACTTTGTATTGATAAATAAGTAAATTACTATTATTTATTACAAATGAGAAACTGGATATCTGATATTTTTCTTTTTTTTAATACTCACACAGCTCTATCGAACTTCACTCCCGACAGGCCCTCCACGTTCACATCCTTGAAGTTGAGCTTGAGGTTTAGGGAGCCAGTGCGTCCGTCGGAGATGTCGAAGCGTTTGATCAGGAAGGGTTCCACCTGGGGGAACCCAGCCGCCGGATAGCCAGTCTTTGCGTACTGACTGATGAGCATGTGGGATACGTTGATGATGCACCTGGTGTCGCCCATCCGACAGCGGGGCAGCTCAGGAGCTGCAAGGATAAGCCCAGATTAGCACAGCTCACGAAGGAAAATGACCACCGCAAAAGGACTCACGGAAATTGGTGGCACCACTGGCCAAACAGAAGAGCAGGGCCACGGAGCCCAGTTGGAGCAGCAGCATCATTTTGGATCGATCTCTAAGAGGCACTACGAAATTCACCCGTTCGATAGTTTGGCGAACGCCCGACCAGGTTCAATGGCAAACTGTAAATTGGCTCTGGACTGACGGCGGCATTTATAAAATTTCTGATCGGCCAGAACGACGGAGCGAAGTGGCCGACAACCAGTACACTTCATAGTTTATTCATTCCTGACTTGTCTTGGCCCTTGTTGTTGTTGCTGCCCGCCTGATTGGTGGCTATTTTTATTTATTCGTATATCTCTTTCGTTCTGTGTTTTGGCTTCTCCTACTCATTATGATCATCATCATTATAGTAGCCACCCCTAGCCAGAATTGGCAGCAACAATATTATTAATTAATATTATTAGCATGTGCCTGGTTTCGCCAGAATATCAACAAATAACAATAAACAATAACAATGGCTTGGCACAAAAAGGCAGCGAAAAATTAAAAGTGATTCTATAAATTTTAATGTTCGACCCGCCATCAAGTTTTTGAGCTATAAGTCTATAATATAATTCTCCTTTTCCTACAATAATGCATTATAATTCAGACTATTTCGGTTTTTGTGTACTTTTTATAGATCTAAACTCTGTGAAATGGAATCTGCGCTTTGTTCGCACTTAAAATGATGTGCAAATAATTATTCGTACTTATCAGCGATTATATTAACCATCTCGTGTTTACTTTGAGATCAGCACTTGGGATTTAGAACCTTTGGGATTTCCAAAGTGAGTTTGAATAACATGTGCTAAATGGTCAAGCAGGTTTGAAAAGAATGTTAATGAAGTCATAAGCATAGGTCAGGGGAAAGGATTCTTGATACTCACTGAAAAATCGTTTGAAAAATAGCAAATACTATTTGGGTCTAAGTATCATTTTTAAATTAAATGAATTACTTCCCAGGGTTAGTATAAAAGTATCCATGTTATATTATTTATCTTCTTTACTTTTCAATAAAGAATGTTGCATCCCAAGGCTAATAACCATAGGAATTTCCGTTCTGCCCTATTCAAAGATAAATCTTTTTGGGCAACGGCTCAATTTCGTACATAATTAGACATCATCGGGAATTTAAGACGACATGGTTCGAAACTGGTTCCAACGGCACTCTTAATGGATTCACCGGCTAAAAGTTGCCCCCCGGCTTTATTGGCTTCACTTTCAAACTATTCTGACAGGCGGCGTTTGGAGCTGGCCGGAGTGTATTTAAATTTAATTTGCCAAATTGTAGTTAAAGGCTTCTGGCGTTCGTCATCGGCAATTAGCATATGCGGTGTGATTGCTTTATATACTATATTATGCGATTGGCATGAAACCGGCATTTTGTTTATTTACCCATCCAATTGGCGCCAGGTGAGTCCACATACCTTAGCTGGGCACTTTGCATTGTTTGCTTAGCCAATTCCTAGACGCTGTCGTAGACATCGGGATTACTGCGGTCTAAAATTTTGGGGCGCCAAAGAAGTTGTTAATATATGTGAACACGCGTTTATTTTATTACGCCGGGCTGCCCTATGAATAAATTTGCATCTTCGAATTAGTTGTGTTTGAATCTGATTCATCTGGTGTAAACATGATTCGGCTTTTAATTTAAATAAATAGTACATAACTAGTCCATCCACTTCGTGAGTCGTGGAAAGCTTGTGAATGATTTTACGTTTTATTTGTTAAGGAAATCATGATGAGTTTGGGAATTTTTCTGGAATTCTGGTTTAATTTTGACGGTTCTGAATGGCATTAATTTTTTTTGTTTTCCAATTCCTTTTCTAAACATTATTATAATGGTGCAAATTAGATCTTGTTTTTAAAAACTAAAGCCTATCGGAATAGATTTGCGATGACAGTTATTAATAGCAACCAACCAATAAATTTTTCCATCTGTGTTTTTAAAATTCATAGACTAGAAAGTTCCACGGACCGTAAATAATAATTATTTGTTATTTTTATTTTAAATGACCTACTAAGATATTTAAGTATTTCTTTTTCCAATTTGTCTAATTTTTAGATACTTAGGGGGCAAGCGTAAATAGACTGTTTATACAGCCCTCGTGGACAAAAGTAAAAACAGTGGCATTCTTTACATGTAAAAGTAAGAATTACAGTAGTCATAGAGAACATAGTGCTGAAAAATTAATTTCCTTTTTAAAAATAAAATTTTTTTTTAAATTTGAAATCAAAATGTAACCGTTATGGACTGGTTCCATTGGGAACTCTTCCAAGGATGTAGTATAATTATTAGAGCAGCCAACGGGCACACCATGTTTGGCATGCTAAACATCGATTACCGATGCCTTGAAAACTTCGATAACATGATGTTAACATCGATGTTTCTCCACCTCTAATTTCAAAACCCTCACGAAACTTATTTATAACCCGGTGAAATACAATTTGGACCCATTCTGGAGACAAGGCAGGTGAATCAGCATGAGTGGAAAGAGGATAGTTTGCCTCCTGGCCAGTGTCCTGATCCTGGGAAGCCTGCAAGTGGCGGCGGCAGCGGAAACGGACAACAAAACAAGTGAATTCGTGGCCACCAAGGAATGGCAGGTGATTGCGGAAGGTAAGGGCTAGCCGTTTGAACTCTCCGATGACGTGTACTAAGTGGGGAATCCTCATTTTCAGGTCAAGCCATTCCCAAGGGTCTCCACGTGCGCATCAATATGCAGAACGGACTCAAGGAAGCCAAACTATTGGACGAAAGCGAACGTGGCACTGCTCTACAGAGTCAACCGGGAGACCAGAAGGATTAGGATGACAACGAACCCCTGGCCCTAGACTACAAGCCGGACATTATCGAGGAGTCCCTGCGTCGGGTCAAGGAGCAGAAGAAGAGCTACGCGGAGCTGCGCAAGGCTTACAAGGAGTTCCAGAAGAACTTTCGCACAGACGGAGAGCTGATTGTCCAGCTGATCGATCAGTATCGGAACTTCAGCAAGACGCCGCTGGAGTCAGAGATGCGCTCCAAGCTGGACTGCCTGGAGAACCTGGAGTACCTGCTGCATCAGATCGACAATGCCCTGATGTTTATCGATAATGGGGGACTGGACGACGTGCTCCTACCCATTGTGGTCAACGATACAAACACCTCCCTAAGGGTCTCTGCCATGCGGGTGTTGGGCTCCCTGGCGAGCAATAATCCCAAGGCGCAGATCAAGGTGTTCGAGAAGAACTTTGGCTCCCATCTGGCCCAGATCCTAACCAGCTCTGGAAATGCTGCAGAAGTCTCTGCCGCACTTCACGCCTTTGGAGCACTGTTGCGGAAGTTTCCGCTAGCCCAGCAATGCGTTTAATAGATGAAGATATCTAAAAACGTGTCAAGGATTTGTCACCACAAATATTGTCAATCTATGATGTCCAAGTTTTCATTAGTTAAATGCACTTCGAAGTGCATATTTTTAAACTATCATTTTTTACTTTCACCTTAATCGTGGCTATGCATTCGACACCATAAATATTGCCAATCTATGATGTCAAAATTTTCATTAGAGTAATGCACTTCGAGGTGGATATTTTCAGGTTTACAATTTTTCTATCAGCTTAATCGCGGCTGTAACCTCTTGTATAATGTTCGGGGTACTTCGTCAGTTAAATACTCCAAAACTTTCCGCTGGAATTCTGCGATGGAGTCTTTACATATTCAGATTTATGGGAGCAGTGGGCTTGAGACTTAAAACCACTTCTGATAACCGAGTGGCGGTGGAGGATAGTTCGCTCAAGTGGAAGTGGTCTTCTGCCATTATTCGCATAGGATGTCAAACTATATTTATGACAATGTTCTTCAGTTGGGATGTGCCAAACGTTGAGTATACGGAACACTTTCTACACCTTAACCGTTTCGTGCTCCAATTTGGCTGTTGTATGTCCATCCTAAGATTGCAGATATTGCAAGGACAAGAGGTCACTAAGTTGGTGAATAATTTACTACAACTTTTTCGACGAGTTCAAGACTTTTGCAATGGAAATCATAATGGCTTTGGAGGAAAAAATGAACTAATAGTTTTATTTTTTATGATACTCAGCTTCATACACGAGGAGATCTACATCCTAAATTTGATTAAACCCTATTGGAACCCGCGTGAAATAATTGCCGTATTTGCTGACACCTATTTATCCTTTGGCATTAAAACGCTCACATACTTCGCCTGTTTGTGGTATATAAGTTTGGCCCTGCTATATAGCGATATAAACGATTTTGTTAGATCCGAACTGAGGACTTTGGATTTACAGCCGACTAATGGAAAACTTAGAAAGACCCGAAAAAACGTTAGAAAGTGTTTGGATCTTTACAGGGACCTTAATTCCTTAGCATCTGCATTCCAAAAAGTATATGATCTTCCACTTGTTTTTGGATTGGGCTATAATGGTATGTGCTCTCTTCTTTTTGCATATTTAGTCATTATCCGAAGCAAATATGATATGATTCTCTTATGCTCAAACACTGTGAATGAGTTGTTAAACATATTTATTTTGGCTTGGTCGGTCCAAAGGGCAGTGGTGAAGTCTAGTGAAATTCGACTGTTGATGCTGGATAATTCCAATCTTAGCAAAATTCGAAATTGGCAAAAAAACGTATGTAAATGAACAGAATTATAATTTAGTATTACAATGTAAAATATATATATTTTATTTTTTTTGCAGTTGGAATGGTGTTATATAGAATTGAGTGTGTACGAGTTTCGAGTGCGCCCGCTTAGTCTTTTTAATATATCCAAGGAACTCTTCATGGAATTCCTTTCGGCCATGGTCAGTTACTTGACCATTTTATTACAATACCGAATACAGCTCGAATAGGTTCAAAAGTTAAGTATTTCGATTATTTGCCTTAAGAATTGTGTTTTGATTTATTTATGATTATCAACATACAGCTGCGGCAACAAAAATAGCACCAGTGTGTAGGCAATTCTTCTTTGTGCTACAGAATGGTAATTTTTTGCAATATTTTTATTCTGTTTGTAAGGGTAAGTAGGGTTACATATCTATTAACTAAAATAAAAGTGGTTACGCCCACAATGCGGATGGTTTTTAAAATTTCGATACATTTATCAAAAAAGTAGCAAAGTTATGCGGCAACAAAAATAGCACCACTTAAATAAAAAACTTAAAAAACTTAAAAATAACGCGATTTGAAAATTTTTTTTGATTGAAATGTATGATTTCATACACCTTAAGGTAAAAAAATATTGTTCTAAAGCTTGGGCTGCAACAACAACAACAACGACCGACCTTGACGTCACTAGACACCAGAATCTTCTCTTGGCAAAATTGTTGTCTGGCTCTTTCAAAATAGCTCGAGGGCAGTTTTTTTTCTTCGGTTTTGCATTAAAAACATAGTTTTTAACATTTCTGCAAAGATTTTCGATGTGTTTTAGTTCTGGGGCTTGTAAGGTCCCCATTATACCATTTAGCTTAAGGGTTTTAAAACTTTGTACGACTTTCTGACTGATTTTTTTTGGGTTATAACCGTGGTAAAGCTTCGGAAATAAATTAGTTTTGTATTACGAATAAAATTGCATCACAATTTCTGAGCTATCAAGGTGAACATGTTGATCCTGTATGGGTTTACATTATGATATGGTACCAACATTATAGTACGAGAATATGCCCATACCATTATACTTGCTTCACCATTATTATTCTTTGCAAATGTGAAATGGGGACTCAATTTTGGATATGTAGGTTACCTGATGTGAATTTAAAGTCTTTTTCATCTAAACATGAGCAATTTTCAGCCGCCAGACCATATAAGAGTGTTCCTTTTATTGTGGGCCTTATTTAAAACTCGCCCTTCAAATTCACCCATGCTCTGCAGTCTAGGGAGATTTTTTTTTTGGACGTCAAGCGCATAATTGATTTTTATGTACATTATATCCAACTTTTTATGTACTTACAAATATTAAAAAAAAAAAGCGACTTGATAGGCGCCTAAAACGGGACCTACTTGCATTCATGCAAATGACTTTTTAACAGTTATGGGGTCATTGCGGCTTTCGTACTGCGTGCTATTCTTTTGTGTTCTTGTTTTAGGTAACTACTAATCATTATTTTAAAGAATTCAACGATTCAACTTAACTTATCTTTTGCATTGCCTTTATAAATTAGCTTTTTAAATGTCCTTCTATCTGTATCATTACAGCGCGCTAAATGACCCATTGGGAACACTATTTTATGCAGTATTTTACCAATTCACTTAGTAGTACTTATTCTTAATACAACAAAACGAAAAACAGCCAACAAATCTGAGCAAATGAAGTTTTATACCCAAAAACCGTTAATAGTGCTATTTTTGTTGCCGCATAATTATGCTACTTTTTTCATAAATCTATCGAAGTTTTAAAAACCATTCGCATTACGCCCACAACCATTTTTACTTTAGTTAAACGATATGTAAACCTACTTACCCTTACACACAGAAGAAAAATATTGCAAAAAATGACCATTTTGTACACAAATAAAAATTGCCCACACTTTGGTGCTATTTTTGTTGCCGCAACTGTATATATATATGTATACATACAAAATTATTCGCCATAAATTTTAGTAATTTTTATCTGTTCATTTGAAAATTGATCAACTCAAATAATGAACGTTTTATTTATGAAATATATTTGTTCTATAATTAAATACAAATGTATTACTTGTTTTGTTAATGGGTCTGCTAAGTCAAAGAAATCGTAAAGATTTGGATATTACTAGCACCTTCCTTCGTTCAGAAAAATATTATAGGGTATGTCCGTTTTGCTTAGTATAATTTTTTGCAAATCTCCTTTTTTTTAGCCATCGTAGAACTTTTATAAAACATGATTATGATCTTTTGCAAAATAATAATAGAATTAACATTGAATAAATTTAGCGTGGTAAAAGGTTCACAAAATTAATTCTTCAAGTTAATTAATTTCGAGATATTGGCTAACTGAACATAGAAAGTCTGCATATGGTTTTATTTAATTCGATTCAATTGGGGCTTATTAATTTTTCAACCGATTATTTATTATAAAATTCATATTATTAGTTACCTTGGTTTTATCTTGTAAAGTGTAATACAGTTAAATAACTTAATAATGTATCTAAGATAATAATTAAGGCTTATACCATATACAAAATAAATTTGATAAATATATTAGCATCTAACATACTTTAAATGGCATGTTTTTAATCAAAGATAATACCTTCACCAGATAATTTATTTTTAGCTTAAATGCCGCTAACAATTTAATATAAATTTTGCTTAAGCTGTCATTAGCAAAATTAATCTCGATGGTTACCTGCCAACTCCAGTCACCTGTCAGCTCATGATATCATCGGGCCTCAGCTTAAATTGTCATTAACCAAATGCACCTGGTGTTCCATTGCTTAAAGCAACCATATCCCAAATTCAGTCGGAGTTTAAACCAAAACGGTCGATCATGTACGGAATTTTTCATCTCACGAGTGTTCCGAAACTTAACGCCTTAATTCTGAGATACATTTTCCGTTACGCACAACTAATTGGCGTCATATTTTTTTGCCTTAGAAAAAGTAAAGATGGGGAAAAGGTATCAAATTGCAAATGGATCAAGTGGATTGGTATCACCCATCGAATTGTGACCTTCTGTATCTTCATTTATTCGTATTTTTTGGCTATAATTTTAACAAGTCAACCCGCCGCGAAAGTTCTTCATGTTTTTCGACTTCTACTGAGCATTCCCATCGTTGCGCTTATCTTGGGATACCAGACTTTACGAGGTCCAGAAATTATAGAGCTTTTCAATCAATTTCTCCAACTTTTTCGGCAAGTGCGGAACTTGTTTAAACCGAAACCAAATGGCTTTGGCGGCGGACGAGAGCTGATTTTGATCCTGCTAAATTTGATCTGCCTTTTCCATGAGTTAACCTATATCTGGGTGGCAGAAAAGAATTTTTCTTGGTACTTTTGGATATTCTGGTGGTGCGACGTTTCTGTTGTCACCGGCACTAACATGTTCATTCACCTCAATTGTATGGCCTACCTGAGTATTGGTGTCCTTTATTCGGAGGTCAATAAATATGTACGTACCCATTTAGGAACCCAACTTCAGAAAATGAATACTGCGACCGACGAAAAAGAAATAAGAAGAGCACACAATCGACTGGAAAAGTGCATACATTTGTACAAAGAGATATATAATATCAGCACTACTTTTCAGAGAATTTTTGTGTTGCCTCTTTTTTTGGCTATGATAAATAAGCTTTTGCTGATCACCTCACTCGGTCTCAGGATGATTTTGGATTTAGAGTACAGCAGTTTAATTTTTTTGTTACTTATGGTCAAACACATATTAGACCTCTTTCTGCTAACTATTTCTGTTCAGGGTGCATTGAACCAATTTTGGATTATTCGACGGCCAAACTTGGAGATCGGCGAGGCTGGTAAACTAAGAAATTTTCAACGTACGGTCAGTCAATTTTTGTGCAGTAAATTATTTGAATATATTTTAGTGGTCTTTCTTTCGTTACAGCTGGAAATATTCTTCACCCATCTAAATATTTACCAGTTCCGAGTTTCAATTTTGGGCCTCTGTGAAATTTCCAACCAGCTTTTCTTAAAGTTTTTATCCGCACTTACATGTTGGCTGGCTTTTATTGCACAATATAGAATGCAGATAAGAAATGTTTATCAGAATACCTAGACTTAACAAAAAAAATGCAATCGAAAAGTTTTAGGGACTCTAATACTAACTCGATTTTAAATTGTAAGCCTCGAAAGCCTCTTAAAATAAAATACCTTGTTTTAACTCGTATTCATTCATTTTAAACTATATGACATATAAGTTATTATATGATATAACGAATCATAAGTATGTTTATAATAATACCTATATTTAAGAAATGAAATCGAAAAGTTTTAAGGACCCTAACAATAAATCGATTTTAAATTTTAAACCTTGAAACCTTGTATCAACACGTTTTCATTACTTTTAAACAGTTTGACAGATAAGGTATACGAACCATAAGGAATGTTTATAATAATTCCTAGATTTATAAAATAAAGTGCAATCGAAAAGTTTTGGAGACCCTGAAATCGATAATAAATTATAAACCCTTAAAGTCATGTTTTTATTAATTTTAAATTATTCGAAACCCAAGTTATGATATGATATAACGAATAATAAGAAGTAATTATAGATTTAAAAAATAAAATCTTATCGAAAAGTTTTAGGAAACCTTATACTAACTCGATTATAAATTGTAAACCTTAAAAACCTCTTTAAATAAAAAACCTTGTACAAGCATGTTTTTATTTATTTTAAATTACAATATAATTTAAGATATGATATAACGAATCATAACTAAATAATAAATATGTTATGCTGCGCTCAAACGAATATTTTCCGTATTCTCTGAAGTCTCTTAATAAACTGCAATTATGTGGAAGCCACAAAATGATGGAGGGACGCACCATATGCCCGTGTGTCCAGCTGTTGTGGGGCACATTGCTCATTTTAATGGCTGTGGAAATGAACTTTCGCCACGTGATTTGGCCAGAAGTTGGACCCTCGGGTCAGTCACATCAATAGATAATTTTTCATAATTAACGTGTGTATGTGTGGAGGTGGTTGTTTTGTTTATCCAGCACATTTTCCTCGGTGAAGTAATCCCCAAACTCGTTTTGGGTTCATTAGGGATCATAAAATGTTTCATTTTCATTCCAGGAAACGACTCGTTTAGTGGCGTTGATGGTGTAGCTTAGTTTTCTCAGGAATTTCAAGCCGAAAATATAGCTCAGCCATGCCATCATTTTCATGGACAATTTACTTTGATTTATTAAATTTCAGTCTGATCCTTTTTGCCTTGGCTCAATTTACATACGTACATGGGTATATTTAATGTATTAAGCCAATTAGGGCTGACAAGGACACGGAAAACTGCAAAACTGACCGTTGTCCTTCGAGCAGGTTGGCATCCTTGCTGGCAGGATTAATTTAGACGAAGCTGCCTTTGTGTTTCATTAAACAGATTTGGTGTTATTTACTTAAACACTTAAAATAAATGTGCAAATATTTCCATCGGCTGCAGAGTTTAATTGAAATTCCTTCGTCTGTGCCGGCCAACCTGCCGTCTTCCTTGAGGTGACAATTTAAGCACGCTCAATGCCAACGGATAATGACGTTGATTGTGGCATCTCCTTGGTAGCTCCTTCTTCCGTCTCATTCTCGTCCTTTGCAGCCATCCATCAATCGCAGGACCCCGGCTTCCTTTCCGTGCTGGCCATCCTGGCAGCCTGGTCTTCTGAGTAGCAATAGCAACAAAGGCACATCATGTTGAGATGTTGCCATTGCTGTCCTCATCCCTCCTCCTGCGTTCTGCATCCTATGTGTGTCCTTGTGTATCCTTGTGTATCCTTGTGCTCCATGCTCCATGCTCCATGCTCCATCCTCCTCGTTGTTCTTCCTGCACTTTGCTCTGACATTTTGAGTTTATGGCATATTTGCATTATGACTCGGCTGCCTGGCTGCCCCTCCCTTCGTGTGTGTGTGTCCTTTTCATGGTGCACTTGAACAATGACGTTGACTTTGTCGTTGAGGTTGCCATGAATGCATGGCCAGGACTCCCAACCCGATCCCTATCCCGATCCCGAACCCAAACTCGAACCCGACTCCTGCTGACGCAGCTGTTAACAAGGCAAATAACAACGCATGCTTGCATAAAAATTATGCAGGGCTTAACAACCTAAAACTATTTCGACCCCCCCATCCCACTTCCCTTAATTGGTCAATTTTGCTGGCCTCTCTGGGCCCCCTTTGAAGACCCAAAAAGGGGTTATTCTTGAGCGTTTTTTAAGGCTCAATCTGTGGCCTTTCCCTTAACCTTTTCCATCGATGGGCTGCCAGATGTCAGAGTTGTGTTCCAGTTGCATTTTGTCATCCTGACTGGTGGAATAGCATGGGAATGGGAATAAGCTGGCAAAGCACTTGCCAAGGCCATCTACCAAGCATTACAGTCCAGCTTTTGGCCAAATCTTCTTCAGCTCAATCCCGGCACGTTTCGGTTTTTACAGTACAGATGGAAAATCTAAAAGAAATGGGTCATTGTATATCGCTTTTTCAAAAACGGAGATTACCTTAGCCATGAAAATAAAACAGTGAGCCTATAAATTGTTTAAAAAAGTAGTTTTAAGTACAAAAATGTGTTTATTATCTTTAAAAGAAATTTCACAAACGCCTATTTTTAGTTTATTTAACTACTTAGTGATGCAAGCTATTTTTAGGATATATTTTTGAAATATAAAACTAAAAACATTGGCTTTAAAAATTAAAATACATTTTTAAATAGGCATATGCTATAACTTAAATATCAATATAATTTTTTCAGAGTGTATTATAACTGAATAATTTCTTAGATTTTCTCGTTTCAGATGAAATGCGAATTGGGGTTAGGCTGTGTCTATGCCTTTTAAATATAAGCAAAAATTAAAGTCAAGCTTAGTCCCAACAAACTTCATAAGCCTTTTAGTCGGCTTTAGTCTTTTGTTATCCCTTTTAATACCAGACTTTCATGTGTAGTAAATGTGTTGATATCACTTTTAATTGGAAGTTGAGAGATTAACATCTGACTGGGGATAACATGTTGCATGTCATATTGCAAACTATGAGCATAACCTCAAAAAAGTTTCGTTTTTGTTACAGAATTTTGTATGGATGGCTTTGCCCTTTTTTTATATGCTTAACAAACGTGTCTGTTAACCAGAAAATCAAGCAAAGACGAAGAAACTTTAACAAAACCGAGATGATGATGGTAAAAATGAGAAGGATGTGGCAGACACACACAAACTAGGGGTAAAACAAAGTTGAGGGGCCACAATGTCTACACTAAACCTGAATGTGTAGCAATTTGCTAAACAAGAAAATAATTGACTTGCCACAATGTGAGGCATGCTAGCCGCTCAGAAACACACACACACACACACACACACACAGCGGTCTTAAAGAGAGCAAATTGAATTTCAGCCGAAGGACGAGCGGCGCGCCTAAGTATGCAACACTTTTTTCCCCAGGACTCCACTTGAGCGGCTAATGGCGTAGAAAAACGGGTCGCGTGAAAAGCGCATGGCATATAAAAATGTATGCCCTCAAATGAAGCCCGTGATGGCTGGCAGTCATTGTTGCTGTTGCCACTTTTATTGCCGTTGATGCTGATAAGTGGAACTTGAGCGTCAACAATGCATGATGCCCGGTCCTTGGTCCTCGTCATGGACCTATTTTTTCCCAATCCCCAACCATTCCACTGCAGCCGGCGATAAGATAAATTAATTCAAGTAGTTGGCCCGACACTAAGCCCATGCAAACCGACGAAATTCGCTTCATTTTTGGACCCCCTGCCGGCAGAGGGCATGCATAATGACTTGACCTGCGGCTTATGAAATACGAAAAGCGGCTATGGCAAGCGGGTGTCCAATGGTGGGAAGGACGAAATCAGGACGACGACGATGATGATGCCATGTCAACAGGCCCGAGACACGCGTCGCCAATTGCCGACCCCTGATTTAGCATCCAAAAATTGCGGCCTTAGGCCAAAAACTCGGGCCAAAAACTCAGTCGCCGCCGCCTGTCAAACAACGCAAATTGGCAGCGCGTGGCGAATTTCTAGTTTCATTTTCATTTTCTGCCAAAAAATATCAGCGAGCCACGGGTTGCAAATTGCAAGCGAGTTAATTGAGGCCGGTCAATATGTGACTGCTATTGAAGTTTGTCCAAATAGGACAGTTTTCGTTATGCAAATTAAAGGTTTTTTGCATTTAAAAATAGTTATATCTGTGCCAGAAAAAGGAATATTCATTTAGAATTGTGTTATTTCAAATAAATATTGTATTTGAATTTAGCATTTTACTAAAATTAAGGAATAAATTAATGAAAAATTTAACTTATGATTACGTTACATTTAACATTCTTTAAAATTCATGTACCAAGCATATCAGTATAATTTGAAAGAATATATTATATGCAATCAAAATCCATTCTTAAAGTATTCCATTTACCATAGCCTATGAAATATTACTAATCATTTCATTTCTATTAATAAATGAATTATGGTAGAGATGCAGTGATGGGTTCACAAAAAATGAAACGAGAAAAACCCGTCACAATCCCTCACAACAAAATCTTAAATCAACAAAATTATAAAGAATCCTTTCCATCCACCATTTCAAAGTCCGTTTGCTTAATATAAACCGATGACTTAACCTCCTTCTCCTTTCAAAACATCGTGGTAAACAACTCCTATCCAAGCATATCCGTAATTTCTAATCAAATGTTAAATGAATAATTAAGCTGATGGGTTGATTTTGATTTACCATCCAAACGGAAATTGCGTCCGATGGAGAGTAGGCGCATTTTCCCTTTTTCCCTTGGAACATTTGCTCCCTGGAGTTGGCCAGTCTGGCCACCTATGTAAATTTCAGGCCAGTTTCTCAGGCTGGGGAATCCTATTGGTAAACAGACTCGAAAGCTTAACTGAATTTGAATTAGGCCCAGTCAAGTGAAGGAATTTGAGAAGAGTTGTCCAGCCCGGAAGTCAAAAGATTCCATAGAAATTTATGATTTACTTGGCTTTCAGCTGTATTAATTTGCAGTTACCTGGGATTTGCTAATGAATACAGATCGGATAATAGTTCAAACTTAGGATATACGTCCGAATAGAAACAAAATTTAAAAATGAAGAATATTAGTAACGAAAGACCAATGACAGCTGGAACTTTTTGGACTTTTTTGGACTGGCAGTTAGATATTCCCAGTTGGTCCTGGGCAGTTCCACTCTCTGTTTCTGTATATAACCCCCCACCCAACCAGCCACTTCATGTAAAATGAAGGAACAGCCGAACCGGACAGGACGTCAGGGACCAGAGATCCCCAAAGTCTGCTGACGGATGCAGGAATAGACCCCGAAAAACAAAAACCAAGGGATGCAAAATAACAACCTGAATCGAGTGGCTCAATAGCCGACGCTGTACTTAACCCATTTTCCTGAACAAAAAATTAAAATACTGAAAAATAAAATAAACCTGAACAATCGAAGTTGAGCGTTTGAAGTGCTCGGTTTCTTTTTTATAGAGCTGGGTCATTGAACGAGCTGCTGAACCTGTTTAATAATTGAATGCAGTTATGGCGCAGCATTCAGAGTGTCTGGAAATTTC